GAATCAGGACACATTTTCCAGGGCCAGAGTAATGTGAGTAATTCTTATTTCAATCTAACATTAAAACTTGATCATTTATAGGGATAGGATACCACAGCTAACCAAAATTCACTTTAAATTTTTTTATTTCACACAAAAATCAACCAACGAATACAAAAGCTATTATATTCTTTACTTTAAATATTATCAATATATATCATAAAATATGTTCACAAATGTAATAAGTACTCTCAACCAAACTATTATTTTTATACTAAATGTAGTATGAGAGCTTTGGCAGCGCAATTGTATAATTAGAGCACAATGGTTTACATAATACTTTAGCCATAATCATTTTAGAGGGAGAATATAATGAAAATCAATATTACATATGTTCCAGTTTTAGATTATCTGTAATTTCCACGTACAATACAGGGTGTGGTCTGTAACTTCAGTGTATAATTCCTTATGATATCATATATGAGTTGTAATAATGAAATTATTTTTTCGTTGAATCAATCAATGACGATTTCCAATATTTGATTTCACTTAGTGTCAGAATTGATTATATTCATGATAGCATAGTTGTTTGTAGTAATTGAACATTTTCTCAACACCCTGTATCGCGGAATATACATAAGAGTGTCAAACCACGTTTATAGAAACTTATACCTCGAAATATTATGAGGAATGACACTCAGGAAACACCTTGTATATGACATTCAACAAAAAATTGATATACCTTCCCTCTGAAATCTGAAGGATCTGAATTAGACAAGCACTAATACTACTTAATTATATTCCAACAATCCAAAAATCGGTTAATAAATAAATAATATCGAAACCTTATGACTCAGCACTTGCAAAAAAATATGCCTACAGTAATCTGGAATGTTATCCTAAACGTAAACTTTTCTTTTAAGACTGTATTGCAACAAAATGCATAGTGGAACACCAATTTGAGTATGGACTGCTTGTCAATTGAATCACTTTAATTAATTTAAAGAATTGAGAAAATGATTGAAAATGATACAATTGATCAACTTTCACGTCACAATATTCAAAATAACTCGCATTGATTGGCATGGAAGATATTGAGGAATTGGTTGAGGCTAAAAATCTCCTGGAGAACTACTTTCGGTTGAATATTACTTTGTTCTTTGCAATTATGACTCGCAATGGTTAGGAAAAATATATCCACATTCATCATATCAATGACAAATGGCGTAAGTATCTAAATATAATCTGCTTCTAGTTTGAACACTGTAGTTCTTGTAGTTTGGGTTATACTATTAATCGACCAATTGAAGTCAACCAACCAGATGGAATAGACATACTTCAATTTTTGTAGAGTGAAAATTCATATTTTACATACCTACATAGTAGGTATCATCTCAACCATTCTCAACTCAAGAATTATCCATGAATGACCGATACACAGGAGAAAACGAAGAAGCCATTCAAAGAACTGATATTATATTGTCAAATGACTTACTATATCATATTATTATGAATAATCAATTAGTCTAAATATTCTTCGAACAAACGTTCGGCAATTTTCAAAGAGTAATCATTACAGAGCTAAGGTTGGCGAATTGTATATCTACTATTATATTATTATTCAGTATATATAGAGTGGTAGTGGTAATAGTGCTTGTCTAGATTTATCTACTCTATCGAATCTCTTAAATGAAAATAATTGTGCTATTGATATTGTCATATTTCCTTTATGGTGTACATTATAAATATAGAATATTAGAGGGAACATGTAACAACAACAATATCTCATGTGCAGCTCTCACTAGTGAGCAGTCTTTTCAAATACCTATACATTGAAACAAATCATAATTAAAAAGATATTACTTCTATCTTATTTATTAGAATCATATAATACTTATATCATTTCACAAATATTCTCTAGCCATAACCCTGTATATTAATTCATGACAAGTATTTTCTCCATATTATACTGATTCTGATATGATATACCATGTACCCAGATTTTATATTGAAAATATTAAAATTTATTTAGTACGTTGAACATAACAATTTCATGCAACCAGCAGGAACATTATTTATAAAAAATATTCAGAGTTTTGAACACTTATCAGGAATAAGAGATGTAGGGATCAACATTACAATTGGAATGCATATACATATTAGGAATAAGATTGATCTATTTTCATCAGAGATGCATTAAAATATGATTATTGGGATTCCAATAATCTTTTAATGCAGTTAGAAAAAGCAATGACCATGACTTCTTTCTATACTACTGTACAAACAGTGGTATTCTTAGGCAGTTATTATGATATATATAATGCCAAGTATTATGCAATGATCAAAGCAGACGGCAAAGGTATGGTTGGAGGTCTTGTCAGGTGTCAATCCTTGTTAATATGTCTCACATGGCATCGTGATTTTGTATTCAGAATATAGATACCTACATCGTATAGCCCAACTTCTTATTTATATTATTTTCAAGCATTTCATGCCATATAGATGACATGTGACCCCCAACCACACTACTACCACCACGCGGAAGTATCATAAGATAGTTCTAAAATTCAGCATGTGAAATATCACAACGATAACTTGGAACACTTTGTTTGAATTGGAAGATGCCACTTCAACAACACAAAATTATTGATTACCCATTGACTCATTACATAGCAAGTAGTGATGGGTATTTACTGGTTAATCAATAAGTGGTTTATCAACAAGTCAATTAATTGATGAATTTACACTATTATTCAATTCAAAATTGTGCAATTTCTAATAATCACCAACCGTTTTAGATGTGAAATTTGCTATAGTGTTTCAACGTGGAATGGAAGAGCAGTTGTTTTATTATTTCAGATAATAAACTAGTCTGATAACGAACTGAATGTATCACAATACAAGTATGTGGCCAAACAGCAAGGTATGATTATTGGGGTGTTTATATAAACATAGGTCCATAAATTATTCGTTTTCGTATCAGAGTTTCAATAAAAAGTCGTTTTTCTATTAATTGCTCAAAATTCTGTTTTTCCAGTTTGATGAAACTTGGTAATTTTGTTAACAGTATCCAGAAGCTTCTTTTGGTGGAATAAAATTTTTATTTATAGTAATAAATAAGGTATCTATGTCATAGTTTTTCACAAGTTCGATATTTTTATCAGATTAAACAATCGAAAATACAACTTCGTCTATTACGTAGGTGCCCTCAAATCACCCATTTTTATTGCCCAATAACCTTAATGGGTATTATTCTGAGATTTTGAGACTTTTTCAGTCACCAATCAGACTAAATTTTTCCATCATAAAAGCTTATACAGGGCTCGATACAGGGTAATCATGAAAAACAATAATCAATACTTCCAACTTCAACACTCTGTATCTTGAAAACGAAGTTTTCAGGACATATGTTTATATGAACTTTTCTTCTTAGAATCACCCAAATAATCATCCCTTGGAGTTTGATCACATACTTAAATAACACCCTAACTGATATATACATACTTTGCAAACATTTATTAACAAACCAGTGTGATAGACACGTTCGTTCAGTGCACGCAAAATATTTCTCACGTGCACGTGCATGACGTCACATACAACACGCGATAACTGTCAGATGTAATTTTCTCTTCATAGATTAATTTCCAATTAAGCGCTTGCCGCAACGAACTATGTATTGGACTGCCACACCGGCGTCCCGGGTTCTATTCTCGCCAGGGTCAACTTTTTTTCAAAATCATTTTCAGTTTGTTTTCTCAAGTAATTATCCGAAAAATATACTCTTTAGGAAGTTTATTCAGGCTGAGTTAGAATGTTCAGGAAGAGTAGTCTCATTTTTAATACTTTTGCAGAAAGGATATTTACCTTCCTCAAATTCAATATTTCCATGTGCATACGTCAAAAGAGTGATAAAATGACCTCTTGTCTATAATGGACTAAAATTACATCCCGAATTTTGTTCCATATCAAAAAATATATCATACTGAATTGATTGAATAGACCTGATACATTATTCGCGGGAAGTAACGTGATGTAGGTGTCTGCAAGAAATAAATTACAGGAACATCAACGTGTCTCTAGCCGCAGCGTATAAATAAACTCCGATGAAATCTGTCTTGCTATTATACACGGTGGTCCAACATTGTCTTCCGATATTTCAGTGGCTGGTAGTACAGGGCCTCTATAAATGGTCATAACATCGACCATTGAAATATTTTATTGATTTGTCGCTATCCACTCATGATCTAACTATAACACATTCGGTTGCTTCAATATACAGGGTGGGTCACGGTCGATGGCACCTTAGACGTTTTCGGAGAAAGGGACATAAGATCATTCTGAAAATTTGGTTACTCAAGTAATTGCTCTTGATCTATCGATCTAAAATATTTTCAGCTCTGCGGCGTTGACGCTTCTATCGAAAAGTAGCAACAACTTTGTTATTTTAAATGGAACACCCTGTATTTTATTGCATCTTCAGATTCTCTCTGAAGAGCTGAAGGTACAGAGGGTGATCAGAATTCTGAATCTTGAACCACCCTGTATTTGTTTCAATTAAATGTCAGTAGATAGTAAATCAGAAGTAAAGATGGGAACATTGGCGCGGTTTTGATCGATAATGAATAGTTTCGACACAAAAAAATACTAAAGTTGAAAAATCTAGATTTTAAACACCCTATACCTATGTATTCATTCCTGCTAGACCCCAAGTGTGATAGGTCGATGGAATTAGCTCTTCAGGGAGAATCTGAAAATCCAATAAATTACAGGGTGTTCTATTCAAAATAAGGAAGTTGATAAAAAATCCGGTATAACTGAAAAAGTGGCAACATTGGCTATAACATTTTCAAATCTGCCACGTTTTGAAATCACACAGTACATAAATTGAAAAAAATCCAACAACAGTTTACCGAGATATTCACCTGTTTCCATACATATCAGCGACCCTGTATAACATTTCGTTATCAGATGTCGGTCGAAATTTGCAGCCGGCTCTCCTACTATAAGCAGAGAACGGCACTATTTAAACGGCCATTTATAGAAACCCTGAACATCAAAACCAAAGTTACTATATTCATTATCAACTGATTTCTGAATATGGATACTAAGGAAGATATAGCCATCTAAAGAAGGGGAAAATAATTTTCATTTAACAAATTGTAAAGTTATATTGATTTCGAGGAAAATTTCAATCAAAATTCATAATCAAGTTATCTATCTGTATGATGAAAGTTAAACAAATATGTCAAAGATTTTTTGGTGTGAGGAAGGGTTATTTGAAAAAATGTTGATTGAAGCAGAAGAAAATTTGAATGATATAGTATACAAGGTGTTTCGTAACTACGGTTCCTAACTGCAGGAGGTGATTGGTTAGGTCATTTTAAGAAGAAAACGGTAATTATAAAATATCATGAATATCCTGGAATCGATTTTTTCGAAATTTGGTAGTTTCATTTGTATTTTTTTTTTAAATTTCAGCATATCAAGTGTCAATTAAATTTTTGGTGGAAATAATGAAAAACTCATTTCTTCAATGCAGGTGTCCATGATATGCAATACAGTGGCTTTGATTTTTTTCCTCGAAAGCAAAGCTGGATATGAAGAAAATGCAAGAGACCAAAAAGTTGTATTTAGAGTTGCTCAATCGAAACAGAATAAAAATTTACCAAAAAAGTCAGTGGCGTACTTTTTTTTCACATTATTGTTGGCTGTGGTACCCACTGAGACGTCACTGGCAACAATAATTTCAATCTAAATAGAGCTAAATAAGCGCCTCATTAGTTCAAATGAATGTACCAAATTTCAACCAAATCGGTTCTAAGATATTCATGATATTTTATAATTACCGGCTTCGGAAACGAAGCAACTCCGGACATATGTTAATAGGAACTTTTCTTCCTAAAATGACCCAACAAATCACCACCTGCAGTTAGGAACCGTAGTTAGGAAACACCCTGTATAATATCCTTGATATAATATATAGGCTGATATATTTTAAACTTCATATTCCAAGCTGGTATGCCTCTCATATTATTCACTATCTGAAATTAGTTTATATTTACGGAAATAGTCCATGCATTCACAGATATTAGTGACATTGTTTTAGGATGTATGTACTGCCAGCCCCAATAATCACGGAAGACACATCTCGACCACCGCATATAACGCAGATAATGATAATTTCAATCACAGGACATTTTTGAGTGTCAACTTGACATCAAAATGATATTACCAGGAAACCATCACCATTAGCCAAATCAAAAGCCATTCGAAAATATCAGAAATCACTGAAAATGTTGGCAACCAATTGCCGTATTTTTCAGTTAACTTTAGGAGTAGACAAGTTGAATATCCTCATGATACTGAAAAGCGAACATCTAGGTCAATATATTCCAGAATATCTGTGCTTTTTTATATCATTTCAGAATTCAACTGGGCACTCACTAATGAGTTGAAGAGTATAGGCTGAATTGTCAGCAATTATTTATGTACCGAATACTTCAGTAAATCAAGCATAGCATTATTAGTACCTAAACGAATTGGTCATATTTTTGAATAAATTTAATTTCACTGACTTTTATGATCTCACCAGTGTTGTATTGAATATAAATTCAATAACAACCCAAATATCAGCAAGAGCATTTCTGATTCGGTGGGCCAATCAATTGAGAGTCAGTAATGTCTCTGGGTCTTCCTCGCCTTCCTGGCAGCATGGCCTTATCTACTGCAGATTCCATTCGAATCATCACCTTTTCCAATAGAGTTTCAACTGCTCTATTGACGTTTTGTCCAGTTGCAGCACTGGTTTCCAAATAGGAGAGGCTATAAATCGATACTCATGTTACTTTTTCCACCACTTGCTCTAGAACCTACCATTATTGACTCCTTTTCAAGGCGTAATAGATATTTATATATCAAGGGCGTAAAGTAGGCGTTTATGGCCTGTGGCGTGAATAATGGCCCGATGGCGCTAGCCGAGGGCCATTACACGCTGAAGGCCATAAACGCATTTTACGCACGTGATACATACAAAATGTTATGCACTAGTGGTTTATTTCCCAAGTCACAAGTAATGACTAGATTTCAACAAACGACAATTCATATGTCACTCATTAATTCAGTTTTCAAGAGAAGCGCAACGTCTATGTGTTTATTCTATATATTAAAATTACCGTACGACTATCGCAATTATCGTAAGAGTAAAACTTTCCGTTCACTAACAGAGATTCATTCCTTGAGATGTAACAATATGTATACCTACCCAGTATATAGCTACCTAAATTTGACGTTGTCAATCAATCTGATGGTTGCTGTCTAGCAATACATCCAAAAAACAAGCTGAAATTGTCATCTTTTCGGTAAAAACAGACAGCCAGAAAGCAACTATTCAAAGAAGGAAGTTGAAGCAATGAACAATATAACATGTATCATATTCATAACGATAGAATCAGCTGAGAGTTGAATTATGGGTATTCCACAAATGGATGTGTGGATATAAGGGACTTGAGAACAACGGGCGGTAAAGTGTACTTTATGGCCCGTGGGCGATAATGGGCCCGCGGGCGGTAAATTACTACTTTACGCCCGCAAATATGGGCGATAACGTGCACTTTACCGCCCGCATAATAGATATTTACGATACGAGTATCGTAAAGACTCATATAACGATATGAGATGGGAAATATTTATAACCCATCGATTATCGTAATATGACTTTACGATATGAATATAGTACAAACAAAAAGCTAATTATTCAATCAAAAATATTCAATATTCCTTGAACTGACGATTCATTAGGAATATGTAACAAGCAAGCGTTGCAAGGGTTGGGCGTATGCTTATCGTGAATCTATTGTGTTCTCGGTTGTCACTCATTCGGCGAACTGACAACTTTGACGCGTTAACTTCAATTCGAAAAAAAATTAATCGGCATGAATTCGGATCAGGAAAGTTCAGATTCCGATATAGAAATTGCGGCGAATGCAACAATCGAAACTTTAGTACCTGCTTTTTTTGAGTAAAAATAAAATGTGAAATTATATTTTTTTCATTTTACCGCACTCATTGGAATTGGAAAGGAGTGCTTTCATAGTGACATTTAGTCCATATTTCAGTTTCACAGAACTATAGTGATTGAATAGCATTGCTAGTGGTGACAAAAATTAATATACACCTTGGTAGTAAGGAATACTATTACTACCTCGGCTGAAGCCTCGAGAAATAATCTCGATTCCTGATATTCTTCAAATATCTCTAAATATAATGGGAATAGTAGGTGAAAATTGATAGTACAAAAGTTCATCAGAATAAAATTTCCCATAACAAGTGTAAATAGATGAATACTGTCTGTATATTGAGGAGGTCGAATATTGAACTTTGGGAATTTGCTCTCCTCCTTTTTTTGCCATAAAACAGAAACAAAAATTGTCTCACTAGACCTAGTTCGTTGAATGTTACATACATTGGTATATTCTCATATTTCTTTCAACATTATGTTTTGGGGCTATTGAAAAGGGTTTCAAAGACATATTATTATGCTGATTTTTAGTGTACAATTTACAGACAGTTGCAAGCCAACATTGGCGAAGAAAAGCATTCTGCTGCCCCCTGTATTTATACACTGTGTGAAGATAGCGAGATTGCTCTCTTTTATAGTGTATTACTACTGTAAACCTATTCAGAAGACAAAAATAGATTATTGTATTGAAATCGAAAAATATTCGAGAAGAATTGCTATCCTCAATTTTCTGAAATAATTGCTTAAGAAAATATTTCAAATAATTTTTTTTGTATCTTGCCATATATCCCGACTTTTGCCTCATTATAGTATTTTTTTTAATTTACCGCCATACCCATGATCACGTGGCATGTCTCAGAATCGATTTATGTTATTGAACATGCATAATAATATGTATATTGTTCCGACATACATTAAACATATATTTGTAGAAAATCATAGTTTTGTTCAGATACAAAAATGTACCCAAAATACCACCATATTCAGCTTATCATAAGTTTTTTCAGTCTTTTAAGGATGACAACTTTGCGAGGTGCGTATTCAGGGCTTTTCTAAATATTATTGTGTTATCTTGGTTATATTTTTGTAAACAATTATATAAATTTGTTTATATACGTGGGAACATGTGCCTCAGCTGACGAATCAGCAGTTTTATTCTACGTTAACTTCAGAGAGGCATATGCATCACCCGATTCAAGTTGATCCATCACAACGAATTTCAATGTAGAGTGACAGGTTTATTTCTTGGAGCATCAAAGTGACTTCAAATATTACTTTCAACAATTTGATTGAGGACCAATGCAAATGTACGCCTTCAGCTTGTACTGAAATTTTCATCTTTATAAATGATCACCAGTATCCATAAAAATATGTAACAGTTGAATGATAGACTAAATTCCAATGAAAATATTTCACTTACCCATGTTTTTCAGCAACTTCTCTAGCCCTCCATTCAGTGATTACTCTTTTTTCCTCCAAATCAGCTTTGTTGCCACATAGCACCACATCAGGACATTCACAATATGCATGCAACTGCAAGATAAAATGGATCATTAGTCATGTTGAAGAAAGTGAATCAACATTCATCATAATGACAATAAAGATGATACAATTGCAGTATATACTTTCATCTCTTACATATAAGAAGGATGAACATTGCAATGCAATTTTTCTAATTCATTATTTGATTTTTTATTCTCCTGCGAGGAGTTTGGAATAGCCCTTTTCATTTGAATTTCATTTTAATAGTTTGTAAAACTGAATTCTGATTTGACATTGCATTGTGAAAATTTCAATTAAATAAAAGTTTCCATAAGTTAAAACTCGATTGTTGAGTGTGATGTGACTCTTCCAGTGAAAATAGTTGTGCAATGTCATTTTGTGAAGAGTGGAGTAAAAATAATTTCCGTATCTTTCGCCGCTACTGATCCTGGTTCTTAGATGATTGTCGTTTTTCATCTAAACGAAAAGGTCTATTGTTGGAACCCTCAAGTAGGAAGTTCTTCAGAATGAGATGATTATTGGAAGGATAAAAAATAGTTAATGAGATATTTCAAAAGTTAATTTGTTATCTCGTTTGTTACATCTTAATCTGAAGTGAGATTTGATTCAATTCAACAGTAAATCGACTTTCAATGACAATATTTTTCTTTGTTGATGCAAAATTTTTGGGTATTGATGAAGATATTATACAGTGAGGACGTAAAAAGTCCTCCCCCCCCTTTAACCTTTGAACGGAACAAGCTAGCGAGGTCGGGTAAAATTCAGGCAGAAAGGTACCTCTTTTACTACTATTTGGCATGAATATTGTTGTGGTCACGTGACCTAGTTCAAAGGTTAAAGGGGGGGGGAGGACTTTTTACGTTCTCACAGTATAAGTTTATTTTAACTTGCAATTATGACTTAAAATTAAACTGGATTTCTATAGGTCTCCTCCATTCCAAATTATTTTCAGGTCAATTATAATTATCAATATCTTTAATATCAATATTTCAATATCTCACATTCATTTGAAACAAAATGAAAAAAAGGTAAGAGAGAGCCATTTTATTAAACAAATAAAAAATTGTTAACATTCTTATGTAGGTCCTTCCTTTGAACAATTTTGTATTATTTTTTTTTTAATATAAAGAGAAGAGAAAGGAAGTTGAAACAATATTTATAATAGTGAGGAAAGAACATATGGGACTCATCAGGATTGGTATGTAACACACAATATTATCAACAAAAGTAGATGAAAAATGAAAAAAAAATGGCAAAGAGCTCACGCTTCAGCAAAGAGATGAACGTGCTGAATTTTGTACAGTGCAATGAAAACTTATTCAGTGAATCTCTGATGGAAAAGCAGCAAAACTATCAAAGCAACTGGAGCAAAATAAAAAAAAAGTTCACACCCAAAATATTCGTAATCATATTCATACCCTCAGCTGTTCTATCCAATTACGAATTTCTAGAAATGATTGCTCATTCGTGAGGTCGAAGAGAAGCAAAAACCCCATTGCATCTCGATAGAATGCTGTCGTTAAGCTGCGAAATCTAATTAAAAATAATAGTCACTAAAGCATTATAAACTGATAATATACTACTCCAAAAGAGTTATGACCTTTCTTTTTTAACAAAATTGACAATTTTCTAAGAGCATACACATACAGTTTGAAGAGTTCATACAAGGTGTAACAAATTTGCTTTCCACTATTGGAATCTCAAACTAAACAGTGAAAATTAAGGGTTGAATAGAGGAAATGTTAAGTAGTTGATCTCGGAGTTCATTGAGTTGATCGAGACTTAACGAAATTATACAGTGTGACCCACTTCTAGTGGAAACACCCTTGTATCTTATGTAATCGTCGTTGGGAAAGGATCCTGAAATTTCCTGAAGCGAGATATATACCTAAAATACACTCTATGACCAAGTGGGGTTATCTTCAGTGATATACACTGCTCGCCAACAGCCATGGACCCACCCCCATTTCCGGAAAATGATATTAGGAGTCAAAATAGGTCGAAAATCACATATTTTTCCTGAAAAATTTTCAGTTCTAAAAAATTTAATTTTGTCGCACTTTTTACGGAATTACCCCCGTATATATATATATATAGTATCTTATAGGTACACTGTATTGATGAATTCAACAGTAATTTCCATCAAAAATTAAAACAAAATCAAATCAATTTATTTCTTTAAGACAACATACAATTGTATAAGAAAGAGTCGGGATGGAAATGCATGGTATAGTACGGTAGGTACTTATAAAATGAATTAACAATAAGAAAATAACATAGCACGTTGAATAAAACTACGTACATGTTTACACAATCTAAGTACGTAATATACAAAATGGACAAAATATTGACTTATCTTTATGATACCGATACTAAGAGTACATAAAAAAATACAATTTACATTTAATAATTATTAAAATATGGAGTTGAAAGTATTTATTCAAACTATGTAAACATTTCTCAACCAGATATTCCTTGAGGTTTTTCTTGAAGGTGCGTTTAAGCTATTGAAAATCTTTGCGCCGATTCTAGCTGGAGCTTTATATAAAATTTCGCGTTTAGAGAGTGGTATTCGTAAATCATCCTTACGACGTGTGTTGTATTCGTGGAAATCATTATTAATGAAAAACAAATCCCCATTTCTGAACACAAAATTACAGACTTCAAATACGTGGGGGCCTACAAAAGTGAGCATTTCAAATCTTTTAAAGATTTCTCTACCAGAATAGTCTTTTTTACGCCAGCAATACACCTTATGATTTTTTTTGAGAGACGAATACATTATTCAACAGTGTAGAGTCTCCCCATAGGCAAATACCAAGGTCACGTACTTTGTGTGGATTGAGGAACTTGAATAATACTTGTATTTGATTCGTAGAGAACTCCATCATTTGATGAAAATTCATCAGTTGTTGAATTTAGCAACACATTGGTACAGGGTGGTCCAAATTGGGCACTTTCAAAGGAAAAGTCCTATTCTCGTACAAGATGGACAAAAAACTGATGTCGGTGTCTGTTGATCAATTCACATGAAAAACTCAAAGGTGAAAACTACATATCGATATCTATCTTTATTTCAGAGATTTTTGAAAAGTGGCTAAAACTCTTTTTCTTTGTCAAATGTTCTTCGTTTTCATGAAAACATTTTCAAAGCATTGTGTTTGTCATGAATATTGATCCTCAGGCACTGAAATCAGTCAGTCACCGTATACCTAGTTGCAAAATAGAACTATTCTTTCAAGAACAAGTTATATTTTTGAACTAGATATAGGAAGGCCGATTTCAGTGCCTCGAAAAAAAATTTCATCACAAACTCATGCTTTGCAGTTATTTTCATAAGAACAGACAATTTTTGCACAAAAATATCTGTAGCCACTTTTCAAACATGTCCATTTTCGAAAAACACCTGGTAACTCCGAAAAAATAGAACTTTTCTTTCAAGAAGAACAAGTTATATTTTTGAACTAGATATAGGAAGGCCGAATTCAGTGCCTCGAAAAAAATTTTCATCACAAACTCATGCTTTGCAGTTATTTTCATAAGAACAGACAATTTTTGCAAAAAAATATCTGTAGCCACTTTTCAAACATGTCCATTTTCGAAAAACACCTGGTAACTCCGAAACGAAGACAGATACCGATATGCGGATTTCACCATTGAGTTACACAGACGGATCCCGTCTGACAGACAGGCCTCGGGTGCAGGAATCTATCTCGAAGGGGGAAAGATACGAGAAAGCTACGCTCTAGGAAAATACACCACAGTTTTCCAAGCTGAGGTGTTCGTCATCCTGGTCGTATCAGAGAGACATGAGGTGAAAGAGAGACCAGAGCAGAAGATCTACATCTGTTCGGACAGTCAGGCAGCACTCATCCCAGACCGAGCTCAGCATTGGTAAAAAAATGTGGATATGCCCTTGAGATATTAGCAGAATCAAAGGAAGTTGAACTGGTATCGGGTCACAGTGGGGTGCTCGGAAACGAAACAGCAGACGAACCTGCTAGAGCCGGATCGATCCGCGGGGCCGTTTCTGGGGCCGGAGCCTGTACTAGGTATATCAAGGAGCCAAATTACGTCAGCCCTCGATGAATGGACGGACAAGGCAATAGGAGAATACTGGAGAAATATCACAGGTTGCAGGCAGGCCAAGGAATTTATGGCCGGTCCAAGCAAATCAAGGAAGGAGCGGCTGCTTGGCAGAGACCGCCAAGTACTCCGCCCCCTCATAGGAGTACTCACAGGACACAAAAGGCTAGGCAGACACCTATCTCTTATGGGAATAGAGGACAACCCCACTTGCCGCAGATGCGGGGAAGACGAGGAAACGTCACTCCATTTCCTCGGCGAGTGCGAGGCGTACGGAAGGCTGAGATTTGAAATATTTGGAGTAGACAAACTTCAACAGGAGGACTTGATTATATTAGAGTAGACGGACATACTGGCTTTCATCAGAAGGTCAGGGAGATTCGTAAAGGAAATCTAGGTGAAGGAAGCGTAGATATGTGGAGAGCAGGGGTTAGCAAAAAGGGCCCATCGGGGCCTACTTGCTTGGCTACAGCCTCCCCACCTACTACTACTACTCACCATTGAGTTTTTCATGTGAATCGACTCTCAGGCACCAACATCAGTTTTCTTCCATCTGGTTCGAGAATAGGACTTTCTGATATAATGATGAATTATTAGGCTGAATTGGTCATATTGAGAAAAGAACATATGAATGCCGAACGCTATCTTGAAAGATATATCAGATATTTTGTGGTTCATTTGCTCAAAGTTTCGATGAACAAATCATATCTGTGCACGTATTATCACTGAAATTTTGAGGGAACATAATATTGAGAAAGAGAAATGGCCAACCTTGATGTAAATTCGATTATGTATGGATTAGAATTAAATTGAAGATGCAAGAAGAGGGTAAAATTTGAATCAATAAATGTATGCAATTTTGAGAGAGTGTGAAGCAATTACCCAAAATCTTAGATAGAGAACAATGCTTCGTGAACCGCTCACCGCAAACGTAATCAATTCCTGATACTGGTTAATCTTCTGGGAAAATGATGAATATTGTCAGTTGCTCATCGTTCACACAGTAGCAACTTTTTTCTTAATGCGTCATCTTGTATATTTCTTTTCATCTTATTTGCCTTGAAATTATCTGTTCAATGTGTATCACACAGTGAGATCGTACGCTTCGGAAATTCTGTCCTTTCAACAATAGGCGAGGGGACAATGTATTTTTCATTTCTTCAATAAAATCATCACTCAAACACCTTTCAATATCATATTTTTCAAGAATTTTTTGGTCGATTTTTAGGTGCTAAAGTCATCAATATTGCCACGGTAATTTTCGAACGGCTAGAAATTTACCAGTGAAAACTGACGCCACGATTTCGTAAGTAGGGGTAGATCATAGCACAGTTGTCATCTGTTGAAATAAGATTGGGAACTTAAGAAATATGAGTTATTCGATAATTCATAAATTCTCTATTGAGTATTAATATTTGAATCGGAGTACGTGACAACCACGGAGCACGACTGGTGGGCGTGGTCTTGTCAGTTCTCAGCATTCAGCACAATGTTGCCAAGTCTCCAACTTCAATTGATATTTTGTTATGGAGAATAAGAAATATTTGGACATGCTGGTTGCTCGAAAAAGTCAAGAATGAACTATAACATCATGGGTTCATTCTATTATGTTTTTTTATTCAACGATATGACTCAACATCTTTTTGATAACTTGATCATAATTGGTGACTTGACAACCTTGCTTCATGAGTGGAAATGGAAGACCTGACCTGACCTATAACGAATCAGCATAAAACTGACGTCACCATTTATTCGGCGTATCACCGAACGGCGGCCATGAAAGTTCGTTTGAAATGAGCTCTGAAATTCAACAATTTCGAACAACGCATACACTCATCATTTGCATAAAAAAACGTGAGAAGTGTTGCAAAAATTAATTTAGGTTCCTGACGACACAGTGGAGTGAATGAATGCCAATAATTTATTTTCTTACGAGCGTGCGCAAAGTAGTACTTTTCCGCACACATATGCGTGTGCAAAGTAATACTTTTCCGCACTCAGTGCGGATATGGGTGTTATCCGCACGGCGTGCGGATAAGTAGAACTACCCAAAAATCTTACTGGTATATGGAACATTTATATCCATGTTAGTTGCTGTAGACTATTGTATGCACTATAAGAAGCCGTTATCCCTTTTACTTTTCAACCGTTCTTCTAGATATTTGTATTTCACCTCAATATAAATATTAGGAACAAATGATTTAATTTTGTATCATTATATTTTATTGATATGTAATTGTTTGTTGTGTAGCTATTTCTATCAAGTTCAACTAAAAATTATTCAATGAATTGAAATTTAAGTTGAAATTTTTTTTTGTTATCTGATATGAAGCTCCTAGGGAAAATGTGATTTTCTATTATTATATTTTATTCGAGGGGGCAACAACTCTTTAAATAGGTGTACACCATGAAATTTTAAGTACTTCAAGTATCATTTTTAATACATTAAATACATATTCAATAAGCTTTCAAGTCTCGTTTTAAGTACTTCAGTATTTGAGTACCTGTTAACAGTACCTCAAGTACCAGTTTCAAGTATTTTAAGTACTTTTTAATTGTCAAATATTTAAATATGGTGTACAAATTTTGGGTAGTTGTTTCTCCTCGATTTTATTGTTATATGTGATATGTTTTGATATGTATTTCACTTCAGAAAAAATCATAAACATTATGCATCCATACTTGAACTTGAAATTTAAAAAAAATTGCACAACTTTGATTATTATTCTGTGTGATTATAGGAACTCATTCTGAAGAGATGTAATAATTATATCTATAGATTGGATAGCAAGTTCAATAGTTAAAGAAACTGAAGAAAATTTGAAAATCGGTCAAGAAAGTCCCGAAGTTAAAATTTTATTGAAATTTCAATTTCAGTTTTGAATGTTGAGCAGTTTATTAGACTCTCATATCGCCAACTGATTAATACAGGGTGTCCCTAAAAGGTCTTTACAGAAACTTATCACATATTCCTCAGACACAAACATTTATATATGAGCAAACTTAACTCAGTACAAAGTTGCTTTGTGAAATGCTGATAATTTTCACACATACAAAGATTTATATGGGGAAAATAATGGATACAAGCGCACTCAGTTCAGTACAAATTTTCTCAGTCTGGGTGCTAGATGCCTCTGGATTATTCAGTAATCAGTACAAAAGGCAAAAAAAAATAGCTGATAGCACATTTGAATTTGTTTCCCCATATACATATGTTTTCATTCACAAAATACATGGAAATGATGGAAATTATGAACAATTTTTATGAAATACCTATCTGTTAATCTTTTTGGTGTTGACTGATGCCTAAAATTACTCAAATTTTAATTTTGTTGAAACCATGAGAGTATATAACTGAAATTTATCAAGAATTCCTTTTTTGTTGTAAACAAGTTAAGCAATGGAAATTTGATGTTCAAACCCATTTTTTCCTTATCCTCCCTAGATAGGCAGGATGTTCCACAAATATTATAGGATTTCCTTTTGTGCAGCCCTTTCAAAGTTATGGAGCAAAAATGATTTGCACCCTGCATAACCCACAGTGAATTTGTTGAACCCTGTAGGTATGTATCAGTATGTATTGTACATGGTGGTACAGGAGACACATACATTTTGATAGATATTGCTCACTTCCTATAGATCATAGAATGTGAAATGTTACAAGTGGGGCATTTCAAGAGGTCATTCATGGCATTCATGAGGTTTTAGTAGCTATAATCCAAGTGTTTTTTGTGCAGATTGATTTATCCCACTCAATCTTCTGTGTGCAGTGTGTCTTTGGCTTAAGGTTCAATATCCTATTGCCTAATTTCCCATCACAATCAAATTCTCACATGAGTAAATGCACTATAGAGAGTACTCAAAATGATACATGATAAAAAGGGGGGTTTTATAATACATAAAACATTTATGGGTCTTCAGTGAGCTTCTTCTAGAAGGTAATAGCAACAAATACACCTACGAGTGAGAATGAAATTTATAATACTAAATGTTTTGCCTATTTGGCTTGGTCTTGGATAAATAAAGCTTAGTAGAACACCCATTTGTGAAATAGGGATATTTTTCTTCCAATGTATTTTTTATTTATGAATTCATGTCTTTGAATAATAATTATTTTTAGAATGATTTTTCAAACATGCATATTCCTCTTAAGTTTCAATTTATTATTGATATTCATTAATTTTTTATAGGGTGAATTCAAATCAGAATTATTTGATTGCTATAAACCATATTTAGAAGTACTGTATAAATTTCTGTAATGAATGGGAAAAGGTATCTCTGTGCCAGTTTGATTATACCTTTCTTGTCCTGCTGTATCCCAAAGTTGCAAATGAATCCTATGATTTCTTCCTTTTGATTGGTAAATCTGAAAATGCATTAAGCTGTTGAACAAGAAAAAAATACACATGTTAAACCATCACCATTCGTTTTTCTCTAAAATCTATTCCAACAGTGGAAATAAATCGGGAATTGAAGAGGCCGTCTGTATACTGATAAAGAAAACTGGTTTTTCCAACACCAGAATCACCCAGAGCCAGAAATTTAATTAAATAATCATAATCCATATTTGCCTCTGATTCCTCACAGTGTTTTTCTGTTATATTCTGTTTTTATATTAATATTTAATAGTATCAATATTTTACTATCAAGTATCAACAGTGTCTTTTTTCATTAGTGTTCTATTTTTTGGCCTTGTCCCCTTGTCTAAGACCACGTCAACGTGGATTGGATGAACCAAACCAACCTACAACCGGAGTTTTAGGACCCTCCCTCACTCCTCAGCTGTTCAGCTGGCCAAATTCGCTGTCGCCAAGGTCATTCATTATTTATGACGTTGCAATGACGTTAAAATGACGGGAAAACATCCTAATCTCTCTCTGGCATAGATTGAAAATCAAGCTTTGTAATATTACTTGGCGATTTTGGCTCTGGCTAGCTAGGGTCCCTTGATGAAGATTGAAGATTGACAATTGAAAAATCATAGTCACAGATTCTCTTTTAATGATCTAGTGACTTTGGTGTTGTGTACTGGCGTCCCTGACATGACATTGCTGGTCACATCCATAGGCGTTAAAAGAAATATTACAACATTTTAATAAGTACTCAATCTTAATACGACCACTGAAAACTGGGGTTCTTAAGGATGCGTGGGACGAGGCCCGATACGCGCTGCAACCTACCACGCGGCTTCATTTGTTGCGTCCTATCTCTCTACACTAGTGGTGAAGTGAGCTGCCAGAGCTGGCTGCTAGAATTTCCGAACTTTTCCGATTGACCAGCGGCGCGTGTTTCCTCCCTTTTCGGTTATCGAATATTGAATTCCCTCAATGAGCTGAGCCCTAACATTATTTATTTTTCACCAAAATGCGACTTTTTCTTTATCCTCTTCCTACGATATCTTCTTTTCAAGGTGAAAATCATCATTTTTTTCGAATATCTCGATAAAACAGGCCATAATTAACCTTCATCAGGGCAATCTGGCAAAATTTTTGGTGATAAAACATATACAGAGCGACCTACAAAACCAGAGGCAGATCAAATATCTTGAACCAAATGGAATATAGAAAAATAAATACAGGTCGGGTGACCTAAAGAATCAGATCCAGATCAAAATCTTATTGATGGAAATTGAAAAAATGCACAGAGTGTGTTCGAGACGAATCGACGAATGAATATCAGAAAAAAACGTATACAGAGCGACCTACAAAACCAAATTGAATAATTATATAATTTTTATCACAGGGTGACCTGAAGAATCATGCAGAGCCAGATCAAAATCTTATTGATGGATATTGAAAAAATAGGTACTCAGTGCATTTATTATTTGAGCTGAATGAGTATATTAGAAATATCATATACAGAGCGAGCTGAATTCCAGAGGCAGATCAAATAATATCTATTGTACCAAATGGAATATTATAATTTATTACAGGGTGAGCAGAAAAACCAGCGGCAGATTAAAATCGTATCGATGAATATTTAAAAAATGCACAGTTAGTGTTTGAGACGAATGGATATTCAAAAAAAACATACTGAGAGACCTACAAAACTAACCCAGAGCGCAATATTGCAGTCCAACATTGAAATATCTTTCCCAAATTTATTTATATCTGTGAAGTTATTATCCGTGAGTTTCAAAAATCGATTAAGCAGCATATTTAACCATAATGCAGGCTCATGTTTCCAGAAAGTTGGTAGGTTAATTGATTTAATTGATTCTTGCTCTTTCTTGGAATGTCCAGTTGATGTGTCTTCTGAGGAGATGATGTCATGAGGCATCCTCTCCTCAGAGGCATGATATATTGTTTTTACAGGAGATCTGAAAGCTAGCCTATGGAGTCTCATAGAGAAGGCGGGGCTAGCCGAAGAACTCTAATCGATTTTGAGGGCAGACACAATAGATCTGAAAAGGTCACAGTGTGGAGGCAGATAGCCCGAAGGCCCCATTCCAAATCTAAATCTAATCTAATGATATATTGTTTGGAAATGTTGAACTTTCACGATGTTTTCGCAAAATATAGAGTCTTGCTTCCAATGAATCATATATTTTTTATTATTTTCATAAAATTTGATCTTTTTCGTAAAAATAGTATTCCCAACATCTTTTGGTATGATTCTTGATGAAATCTCGCTGGAAGAATGCTCCTGCTTGTAGTCGGCTTCGTGGAATATTGGTCCTTGTAAGTTTTTTCAATGACTCGTGTCATCATTTCCTTCATATCCGAAATTCCATCGAATCACTATAACATATGGGATGTTGAAATGTCTTAAAATTTGTATGATCATGATTATATTATAAAAATGTCATATATGTATATAACATAACTAGTCACCATAAGTATACTCTGGTCAGTTCACTTTGTGAATCTTCTGTTCGGTTCGTATGGACTGAATAGTTTTCTCCGATTGAGTGGCAAGTATAAATACTGCTTCTCTGATCTGCAACAGAATCACATATCAATCGAAGTACATTCATATCAGAAAATAAATATCATTAGATGAATTACGTGGATGTTGAATCTGAGACATACCTGAATAATATATTCAACGTCCGTAACTGGATTGGTACATATCCGCTCTCTTTCCGAATAGTGTTTTTTCCAGTAGGCATCTTCCACATTTTAAATTACGTACGTGGGTTATATTATAAGGACCTTGAAGGTCAAACGATGTGCTGCTCGGATCTAAAACTAAGGATCAATTTCAAATTTGTATCGTGAGACCTACATAGAGAATATTGGATATTGTTTTGAAGTTTTCAACATTCGTAACTGGAACGCGATATATTTTTGTAATTCATCAACTATCTCAATGAAGACGAGACAGGCAGATAAACAACAATTTTCTCTGCGATGAAGAACACTGTATATACCTAACCCACCATATGCGTCTACCTCCTTTGCAGAGAGGGTTTATGAACGCCGAGTTGATACTCTCCCCTCGTAAGGGTACCTGTCGTATTTCCATAGAGACATAAAGCTGAATATCTGTCTATCTGTCTGCTTGAGAATCTTTAAAGGTAATTATTAATATATCGCCTTCCGTACGAATATAATGGTCTGAATTTTGTAAAGTATACTCTGGTCAGTTCTCTTTGCGGATCTTCTGTTCGGTCCGTATTTATTGGATGATGGTTTTCTCCGATTGAGTGGCAAGTATCAAACACTGCTTCTTGGATCTGCAACTAAATATTACATTTAAATCGAAGTACATTTGAATCAGAGTATATCATTGCTATTGCTATGGTCTGCCACTACTCACGAAATCGTGACATCATGTTTTTACTCGCGGTAAATTTTTACCCGTTTGAAAATTACCGTGGCATTATTGTTGATCTCAGTACCTTAAAATCGAATGGAGAATTCTAAAAATTTATTAAATTGAAAGATATTTGAGTGATGATTCTATTTAAGAAATAAAAAAAATTAGTCAACTCGCCTATTTCATTTTTGTGAATGGTTCCATGGCTTTTAGCAAGCAGTATATCACTGAAGATATGACTCCACTTGGTCAAAGTGTGTTCTTTCACTATATATCTACCGTTCCAACCAGAATCCTAACCAAACAAATACGAAAGATACAGGGATGCTTCCATTAAGATTGAGACACACTGTTGCAATGTTCATATTGAGTCAATTCTGATCTTCATATCTCGTCATCTGAAGTTTCATCTTAAAAATGAGCCTGAGATTTCGAAAATCGGTTGGGAAGGAAAAAAGCTCGGAAAAAAGTTATGACTGCAAAACCAACAGGTTGGTGCAGAATTCAGAATCTTGATCACCCCCGGTATATGTCCCAATTAAATATCAGTAGATAGTTAATCAAAAGTTGAGATAAGAACATGTAAGCCATTTTGACCAATAATGAATATTTTCGAAAAAAAAAATTCCTTAAGTTGAAAAATGTCGATTTTTCACACCCTATATCTCTGTAATCATTTCCGCTAGACCCCAAGTGTGATGCATCGATGAAATCAGCTCTTCAGAGAGAATCTGAAAATGCAATAAAATACAGGGTGTTCTATTTAAAATAACAAAGTTGTTGCTACTTTTCGATAGAAGCGATAACGCCGCAGAGCTGAAAATATTTTAGATCGTTAGACCAAAAGCAATACGTGAGTAATCAAAATTTCAGAATGATCCTATGTCCCGTTCTCCATAAACGTCTAACGTACCATCGACCGTGAGTTACCCTGTATATGTATATGAAAATGAATCAAAGGAGTACCTACTCTAAGATTTCTAGATATGTATCGAGTAGTATATCGGCTCAAATTATCTATCAGATTATACTGTCACTCATAATAAAAAAAAAATAAACTCACCAGCGTGAAAAACACCTTACTATCACTCATTTTTCAGGGAACACTCGCATCCGTTTGGAACGATAAATAATTCCTTTCGCGTATTTTTCAATGTCGATCACAAAATTCGACCGTTCATCGTGATGACATCTAATATAAAACTGTCTTGACTTACCACCTCTGGTCCCGAATGAATGACTAATGAGTTGAATCATGCTGCTGTAACCGATTAATTTCCGAACAAATGATTTATCTATATATGACTAATGATGATAATGGAATCATACGGGGGGGAGTAGGTATATATAACGATGATTATACGGGAGGAAAAAAGATATATAGTATACAGAATATAAGATGAAGTATTGAACACGGATATACTGACAGTATTATTTTCGAAAGCCTAATGTAAAAAAAAATAACCCAGGCTGAAAATATAATATTTCCCAAAATACCTAGATATTTTTCGTTAACTAAAAAGAAGAGGAAAATAATGAACAATATGGTCAACTTTTCATAAGCGCGCATCCAAATTGACATTTGGTATAATAAATAATAATAATATGTTTATATCGACAGAATCAGAATACAATGGGAGAAATAATGATAGCAAGTTAACATCAGATAAATAAACATTAGAAAACCCACAGAAGCAGCAAATGCTGCTTGTACGTCCCTAATAACACAATTATGTCACACAGGACGTCCATAGGACGTTCGAAATTGGTACCGTGGCCGTTTATTGGACGTCTGTGGGACGCTCAAATGTCCCACTTGAGGAACAACTAGGGACGTCCTTGAGGGATGTCACTGGGACCACTATCGAATACCTGAATCCTACAGTATTCCTCATCAAGCACTACGGAGGACATCCTTAGGACATCCGTAGGACAACCTATCAGCAACGCTGAGGGATATAAATTGGATGTCCATAGGATGTCCCAGGGACGTACGAATTAGTTGATGGTCTGTAGAAGGTCTCCAATAGATCCTGAAAAAGTTTCCCAAGGATGTCCAATGGACTCACGTGAAGGACATTGACGGGGGGTACTTATAGCCTACGAGCAATCATTCGTCGGCAAGGTGTAAGTTAACGTCCTCGCAGGGACAACATATTAAAAGTACCGAATGGGACGTCCGTAGGACATTATTTCTAGGAAGAGTGCAGTTCATATACCAATTGGGACATCCGACGGATATCTCTAGGGGACATTCGAAGGATGTCCTTTAGGGACATTTCATGGTTGTCTGGAACGGACATATAATATACGATCTGAAGTCATGCCAGAATATGTACTACTCGAGACATCCGATGGATGTCCCTAAAGGAACGTTTGAAATCATATCTCATCAGAGACATGCCAAGGACGTCCTTGCATGGACATTCTACAATATGTACCACGTAGGACGTCTAAGGGATGCTATTTATAGGACATTTGAAATGATGATGATGAAATGTACCTGCTGGGACATTCCGTGGACGTCCCATATGGACACTTATTTTTAGTCCGGGACATTTGGACTTGAATTGAACCAAATAGGAACGTCCCTAGGACGTTGTGTGCTATTAAAGGGGTGTTGAAAAAGTATGAATTTCGTTTGACGAGATATTATTGAAAATACTATAAGATTAATAATTTTGTAATATAAAACTAAAAAGGTACAAAAATTCACGAGTGTAAAATATTTATATACAAAATAATCAAAATGGATAGATATAAAAATGAATGAAATGGAAGAACTCCGGTGTTAAACAATCACAAAAACTTCGAAGACGTATAATATATATGTATATAAAATTACTGACAATACTAAAATAAATAATTTCGGAATATGAATCTACGCACAAAAATTCAAGAGTGTAAAATGCTTAATTAATTTGTGTGTGTGAAAATGTAATGAGCACTCGAAAATATTCAAATTAATTGACAAATTATTCAATGGAACGAAATCCATCGATACTTTACCTAATTTGGCTCTAATCAAGTTGAAATTTGAGGACTGGTTATTTTTTTGTAATAAATTTTGATTTTTAGAATTACGAGTTCAATAAAAATTCCTCGAAAAATTCTATTTTTCAAATTGAATGCCTACTGTTAAAAAAAAAGTTGTTTGTTTTGCCCGAGGTTTTGCCTATAGACGGATCTAGATTCTAAATTCGATTAATATTTACTTTTGATGAGAAATATGAGCTGGATATACCTAGCAAGTATGAATCGATTATACACAGAGTGCTTCAAAAGTTATGACCTGACCATAGATGAAGATTTTGCCAAAATCAAGTTTACGTTCTGTATCACAGTAATTGAAGATGGTAAATTCTTGAAAGATCGTAAAGGTACGATATATCGATATCGATGATATCAGCTCTTCAGGGGGAATCTTAAAATGCGATAAATCATGCGCAGGGTGTTCCGTTCGGAATATCAATGTTGCTACTATACTTTCTAGTAGAAGCGGCAACACTGCATTAAGAGCGTATACCAAAATATAAGCATGCACAATACACATTTTCATGGATTTCTCCCACGGATTCTCGAGTTAAAGATAGTGTAATAAGCTCGTCGTGACATACCCTGTATAGGGTAATGAAGTTGAATGAATACAGAGAAATATGAAGAAAAATTGAGAGAAGTTCTCTGTACTCACCAGCGTGAAAAAATTGAGGCTTTGATGAAACAACACGGAACACTAGAACAACACATCATGATCCCGCCGATATTATTATTATTGAATCGAATGAGGAATACAAAAACACTATAATATATACGAATCAATGCGGAATGCGATCACTCAGTTTTTAGGAAACACACTCAGTTATTTGGAACGATAAATAATTCCTTTCGCGTATTTTTCGATGTCGATCACAAAATTTCGACCGTATATACGTGATGACATCTAATATAAGACTGTCTTGATATTTACCACCTCTGGTCCCGAATGAATTCCGAACAAAAAATGATTCATCTATTACTAATGATGATAATAAAATTGAACGGGGGGGGGGGAGATATTTTGTATACAGGTGCTATTTTTTTCCGAAAATAACTAACGACATGAAAGAATTTTACATAGGCTGAAAATATATTCTTTCTAAAAATCTCTTGATTATGGAAGACTTCAATATACAATATATGTATAGTGAAGAGATATATCGAATCGAATCGATTATACACAGTGGTTCAAAAGTTATGACCTGATGACAATAGATGAATAAGATTTTGCCAAAATCGAGATTACGTTCTGTATCAATAACAGTTCTTGAAAAATACAGTTTCGAACAGAAAGCACGAAAATCAAAAGAAAGCATATCTTGATCGGAAAAAATACAGTTTCGAACAGAAAGCACGAAAATCAGAAGAGAGTGAAAACGGTAGGAAACATACACAGGGTATGTCACGACAAGCTATACGCACTATCTCAATACTTACCGAGAATCAGTCAGGAGAAATACATGAAAATATGCATGCTTATATTTTAGAATACGCTCTCTCTTCATTTAAAATAATGTCACCAATGCAGTGTTGCCAATTATATCAAAAAGTAGCAACAACTTTGTTATATCAAATAGAATACCCTGTATTTCATTGCATTTTTATATTCTCCTTGGAGAGCTGATTTCATCAATACATCAAACTTGGGGTCTATCGTGCATGATTACAGAGATATAGGGTGTTCAAAATCGAGATTTTTCCTTCGGGATTTATTTGTGCCGAAAGTATTCATTATCGGCCAAAACGGCTCACATGTCCCTATCTCAACTTGTAACTATTTACTGATATTCAATCGGAACAGATACAGGGTGATCAGAATTCTGAATCTCGAACCAGCCAAAACACCCCAACCACAGTATCCTTGCCCCTCGCGCGCCAGTCATCAATGTACTTTACTTGTAAGGAAACAAAAATTGCTTTCGATTGTGAAGAAATAACGAGAACCATCTAAGACATACACCTCTTATTCCATACATTTCTAATTTCGACCTCAGTTTTTGATGGTTGACACAGAGTCGAAAGCTCGACTAAGATCACAAAGAATTACCGCTGGACATTCACCTGAATCAACTTATTCTATGGTTTTGTTCACTTATGAGAACATAGCTGTGTTCGTGATTTTCCAGAACGAAATCCATGCTGCCTATTACACAAGACAAAATGTTGATCAAGAAACGAATTAAGACGTTACTTCTAGTACCTTATTGTCTCTATATTCTCATAACCTTTCATGACTAAAAAATCTAGTCCCGTGCTAAGCGTCAGCGGATGATTATGTTCAGAGCTCTATAAGCCTATGCTCTATATTTATGTTATATGTTCTGTGATTTTTGTCTCATTCTTGTCAAAAATGGCGATCATGCGATAAGGTTTGACAAGAATGACATTTATATATTTTTTCTGATATATAGATGGATATTTCTTTCACATTCCCCGTTGAACCCGGTTAGAGTATTTCGGTGAAGGTGGCTGACTCCCAACTACGTCATAATGAGGTCAACATTAACTATTTTTCAATTCCTATTTCTTTCACTTCACGCACTACAGAAGTTAACCCGTGTATCTCTTACTTCATCATCCACTCCATTCATTTTTAATTTGAATGTTCCCATCATATCCTCCATTTTTCACATTTATGAATGTAAAAAAATATTCAAGTTTAACTTCAACCACCTTTACCAACTATGGAGTTGCTCTGGTAACAATGAACTCAATACACCTACATACAGTTCATTGTCTGGTAAACGGTAAACCCAAGGGCAGCTACGGTACCCAAACGGAAATGACGTCACCATGACGGTATTGAGAATGAAATATCCCTCCTGGTGATAATTTATCAGATCTGGTGACTTTTACCGCACTGATCTGGTGACTTAAAATTTCAGCTGTTGGCAACACTGCTAGAGAGTGGAGACTGGAGGTGGACAGAAATCAGCTGTCAACGAGCTCCGAGCACGAGCAGTCCGAGCTCCAAGATCTAAAAAGTAAAAATGTTCGCTCTTGGTCCCCGGGTAGTTATGTGAGTAATATTTTTCATATTTTGTCAATTTCAGTAGGTACGTGTATATGTGATGAATAGAATGCCCAGCAGTCACGTAAACAGTAATATAGGTATTTACCTTCGAGTATCAATTTCGATTTTCGGTTAATACTGTCTATTTTCAATCTGTTTATAGATCAATATAAACACCTATCGTGCTTTTCATACAAATATTTCTCAAAAATGTTCTTTTCTCAAATGTTTTCATATGATTGTATTGTGGAGATGATTTGGTATATTATTGTCATATACTTACTTAGGTATTGTGAAAATTCTTGAGATGGATTTCTTTTGCAGCTGTTAGTAGATAGAGCTTATTTTGGTGAATAAAATTCATGATATATAAGTACCTACCAAGTACCTACCAACACACAGAAGTACACTCGTCTTCATAGATCATGTTGCACATGGACAGTGTCAGCTCTCTTCATCTCCACTGCAATAAGAGCTTCATACCGTCCAACCGCGACATGTTCGCTGTAGACGACTATACATAATACCAACCTGTAATATTATGCTTCTTGTATTATATTTCAACTGACGTTGAGTTATCAAATTCAGTATTATGAGTAGGTACCTATATATCACATAATATATTACTTATAATAATTTGTTTCACTCTTATGTCATCACCCAGGTCAGTTATGTTGGCTCTTCTCTAATATTCTCTGTATTAACTTGATATAATGATTATGAGCATTCTTCAGTAATAATTCTACTCCTGTAGTTTGTAGGTAGGTACCTACATTTGAGTTTGAATCTGGATTCAAATTCTTTCTGTTGTGAACTTACTGGAAGTTACCAATCATTCATCAGGTGAATAATTTTGAATTTCACACATACAAATTTGCAGTGTGGCATTGCAGATAAACTAATCCTTGCTTTATTCTTAACATAATAGTTATGTAAAAGGAAGCCAGGAATGCTGGAAGTCATCTAAACCCTCTAATTTTAATGACGTTATTACAGGATCAGGGACATGTTTCAGTCTCAGAAAATACCATCTTCAGTCTAACTAAAAGTTCTACAATACAAAGAATATTTTGATATGAAGCAATTACTTGAAAAAATAAAATCACCACCTAGCTTATAAATCTGCCTGCCAATGCCCATAGTCAAAAACTCATGTTTTCAAAAGTAAATAAATGGGTTCTCAATGGACAATGAATGAATTGTATGCCGCAAAATGGTCTTTTTCTTCCTCGGACATGGTTTCCTATAGATTTTCGTTTTAGGAGATGTTTTTTCTAATGTATTTTCATAAACTCCTCATCCAATTATGTATGAACAGAAGTAGGGGAGATCGAAACTTGTCATTGAGACGTAGTATTTGTACCTCCCTGCATGAGTGGTTCATATTTTAGATTCAGTGCCGCGAGGTACCAATGTTGTGCCACATATTTTTTTGGAGAAATACGAAAAATTATAACAGCTATGATGATTTTCAAAATAATTTTTGTATTCTATGAATAAAATTATGTTGAAATCCCAGCAGAATAAAATTTGGCACAGGGGGACGATATTATAAGTGACTTTGGAGACATAGAGTAGGCATAAATACTGTCACATCCAGAACTGATCCAGAATTGTTCCGAAAAAAGTTGAAAAAAACGGGATCATTGAAAATTCAAGATCAGTGAAGCCGGAAGTGACCGGAAAATGAAAAATATGTGAAAACTCATTTACTTATACAGTGTATAATCTCTGCTTATACTCAATCTCATTTCGAAACACCTACTATTCTAGAAGTTAATGACTTGTCTAATAGATTCATTTACAACCGGTATATATTTATTCATTTCGGAAATAATATGCTGTGATGACAATATTATTATCATCTTTCGAGTTCATCCTTTCACACGGATATTAATTACTTAATATATATAGTTAAACATTGTTACTTAACACTTTCAACAGTGTCAGCTCCAGTATTATAGTTTGATTAAACTCGACCTTGGACGACGACAAAATAACGTTTGGACATTTTCCAGGATTCTCTGTATTAAAATAAATATCACTTTGGGTAGGTAACATCATATCAGGGTATCAGGGACATCACTGTGCAGCGTCGATAGGAATTATCTCAAGAAGAACAGATAATATGGTTGTAGAATACCTGTTAGGTTTACTATCATGTAAAAATAAACACCTAGAAGGAAATGAGCTAAACGTGGCAATATCTTCTCGTTGGTTTTGTTGTCTTGACATTGAATTATTATACTGCAAAGTCGTCAAACTTGATGTGAAACATTCATTATAGGTACCAGTTCTGTTCCGCTATTGTTACGAAATTGCATCTATACGCATTTGTTATTTTAAACATTATGACACCAGAATGGGAAAGGAGCCAAAATTGTCACTCTTTCGTTTTTTTTTAGTCAAATCTTATTGCTTCGACAAAGTATACATTTCTTTACTACATGCCGAAGTTGTTATACTGAATCAAAAAAGGAAAACGTTGTAAATGTTAGTAGATCGAGGTACAAATTAATACTCATAGATGAATTCAATATGTATTAGTATTAGTGAGGATATAATCTGATCGAAAATAGTTAAGTAAGTCTTTTTGCGATGAAGACAATTTTCTCGAAAAGATGTGGTATTAGTATATTACGTTATATGTGTTGTAAGAAGCATACTACGCACGAGTGAAAAAGTTACGCACGTAGCCGCGGAACGGCGAGTGCGTAATTCCATGAGTGTGTAATTGCTTTATAACACGCATTACGCGTACTATACTTTACCCACTGTCATATAGTACTAGTACATCGTGCATATAGTACATCAAAAAAGTTTGGACAAACAGTGTGAATTATATTTCTTGACAGTTATATCATCCGCTGTTGACGGCGATTACGCGATCATGACAAACCTATACTGGCGGAATAAACGAAAACTGTGCGATGTGCTTACTGTGCGTAAAGAGCTACTTACTGAGGCTGTATCTCGTGTGTTCTTGCCTACTTTCTATAGTGACCGTAGGTAAAATTATTAATATCTATGCCGTTTACCTAAGTTAAGGATATTTACTTTTTGCTGACGACGTTTTTCTAGAAAAAATGTATAGCTATAGCTATAATTGATATCTATATCGTATGAGTTTCAATATATCTAGTTTTTTTTGATTAGTTTATATAGAGGGAAATCGCAAATCTTGTTTTTCTGTACAAAATCATCAACAATGGCATAGTTAGACTTTCCGAATCTTTAATCGGCAGTAGATTTCAATGTCTCAAGAATTACGCCTACAACAAATCTAATACTGCCTTTCACCTCTGGTATTTCTAGAATCGCTCGAATAGAAATAGAAGATAATTAGCCTTCAACTCATTTTCTTGAAATACTCCTGTTATTCGGCAATTATCCTGTTGGGTGAATAATTATTGATTTAATAAACATATAAACGCGTATATATAAATACACTCGAGTTGTGATACAAATTACACACTCGGGGTCGGGGTGTTACACACTCACCGCTAATGCTACTCTTTGTATAACTTTATGTGTAAAATGCCGCACCTGCAGTCACTTCAAAAGGAACCTCAAACACGCCGACGCCGCACAGTGCTAGATTTTCTGCAATTGATATTGGATATACTTATAAGTTCGTCTATCGTTTCATAGTGAGCAATAGCTGTTCGTTTCATGATATTCCATATTGTAATGAGTAGTTTATCACTGTAATTTGTACAGGGATGGAGTTATAACTCTCTTAAGTTGGTGAAACAAGATTGAGGCAGTCATTTCGATTGCATTTTGTCGTTATTACTACTAGTTTCTTGTATTTTTTTGAAACCAAATCAACTAGTCTCCTATTATAGACGTCTCAATCCGAGAGCAACAACGTTTTCTGCACCAATGGGATAAGACACGAGTTTTTTGGGTAGCTTTTCGGATTTAGGGTGGAGTCGAGGAGGTTCGTGAAACGATTGATTGTGTGATCATGAGATCATGAGATGATATTTGCAAATGAAGAGAAAGTTAGAATGAGATGAGATGAGTTTTGTCCCAGAACTATATAAATCGGAACACACTTATCTTGTGAAGATTATCACAAGAAAGTTGGTACAGTTTGAACATGCAAATTTTTTATGTTCAAATGGTGGTATAGTTGAATCACTATAATTTTTTTTATTTGTGCATATTTTCATTTTTAATTTTTTGTATTTTGTTCGTTGTAGTTTTGTTATTCAACTTGTGGAGTTTTAGTTTGATTTGTGTCAGATATCAAATTTTGATGATCTAATATACAGGGTGATTCACGGTGGATGGCACATAAGACGTTTTTGGAGAACGCAACTCATAGTTGGTGCCTTGGATAATTAGTTGTGTTCTATCCACCTAAAATATTCTCAGCGTTGCGACGTTGCCGCTTATATTGAAAAATAGCAACAACTTTGAATTTTTCAATGGAACACCTTGAATATCATTCAATTTCTAGATTCTCCCTAAAGAGCTGATTCCATCGATCTATCACACTTGGGGTCTAGCGGAAATGATAAAGATATAGGGTGTGAAAAATCGAAATTTTACAACTTAAGAATTTTTTGTGTCGAAACAATTCATAATTGATCAAAACGGTTTTCATGTCCCTATCTCAACTTTTCATGTACTATCAATTGATATTTAATTGAAATAAATACAGGGTTCAGAATTGAGATTTTTGAAATTTTTGGGAGTTTTCGGTAGGTATAACAAGCGTTCGATTTTATTCAAAATTGGTATCTGTGGATTTTCGAGGTCGGAGATTTTGATTTATTCGTAAAAAATAGGAAATTCAAAATGGTGGATCCAATATGGCGGACAAGTTTTAATTATGGTCCGATTGTATTCAAAATTGGTATCTGGGGATTTTCGGGGTCGGAGATTATGATTTATTCGTCAAAATTAGGAAATTCACAATGGCGGATCCAATATGGCGGACGAGTTTTTTAATTATGGACCGATTCTATTCAAAATTGGTATCTAGGGATATTCGGAGTCGGATATTGATTATTATTTCTTCATCAAAATTTGGAAATTGAAGATGGCGGATCCATTATGGCGGACGAGTTTTTTAATTATGATCAGATTCCATTCAAAATTTGAATCTGAGAGTTTTTGGTGTCGGAGATAATGATTCTTCCGTCAAAACATGAATATTCAAGATGGCGGATCCAATATGGCGGACGGGTTTTATAATTATGATCCGATTCTATTCAAAATTGGTATCTGGGGGTTTTGTCGGAGATTATAATTCTTTCGTCAAAATTTTGAAATTCAAGATGGCGAATCCAATATGGCGAACGACTCTTATAATAATGGTCAGACTATCAAAATTGGTAACTAGGAGTTTTCGAGGTCGGAGTTTATGATTCATTCGTCAAAATTAGGAAATTGAAGATGGAGGATCCAATATGGCAAACGTGTTTTGTAATTTATTATGATCAGATTCTATTCAAAACGTGTATCTGGGGGTTTTCGGAGTCGGATATAATGTTTCTTTCATCAAAATTTGGAGATCCAAAGATGACGGATCCAATATGGCGAAAGAGCTTTGTAATAAATAGTGGTTTTCTTTTAAGTTCTGGGTTCTCACGAAAAACTATAATGAAACAGGCTTTTGTGGATAGCCAAATTCGAGGCCAGAATGAATAAAAGTAGAAAATTGATACTATAGTTTGAAAAACGAAATTGATTGTCGAACCAAAGAGAAGTAGAAAATGAAAATAGTAGTAGAGAATAAATCGAGTAATTTGAAAAACTAAAGAATCCCGCTTTTATTGATAGCCAAACTAAAAAAAAGTAGAAATAAAATAATGAAAGATTTTTGATAAATATGTATCTAAAAATTTTTTTGGCAAAACAACGTTTGCCGGCTCAGCCAATTATTGTATAAAATAAATTGTAACTGAAAATCTCACGTTTTGGCAATATTTGTTTATTCTGAATAATCAAAATGCCCGCATTTTTTTTCAAGACAATTACGCATGTATGTGAATATCAAAAAAATCTGAAAGCACAAACAGGTAGTCACAATGTATGTATATTATATTATTTCTTTTGGGGTATTTCGTTCCCCACCACACAGTTCTAGTGACATTACGGCACCACACAGTCGAAGGGTTAAAATCAGATTCAATTGGCTCTGGGTATATTCCGAATTCAACTGGTCATTACTGACAGTAAATCCGCTGCCTCTGCTGAAAATCTGTGTTCCGAAATATAAAATAAAAAATACAGTGTTGTAATTCGGAACACATTTTCATGGATTTGATCAGTAATCAGCAACAGTTGATGAAATTTCATTGTCAATTATTTTAGTAACATTTTCTGATATTAAATATGATTGATTTATTATCGACATTATCGACGATTATTTTCGACAAGTTGTTTCAAAAACAACTGAAATAAATGTGACATTCCTCTCCCCTCTGAAATAATGACAGTTTACTGAAGCCACACTACCCTTTCATACTCAGCAATTTCAGCAGAATATTGAGTCGAAACATTTGGAATGAATAGTATGTCTGCTCACTATATGTCACTTTAAGTGATTTTTTTTATTACGGAATGAAAAATTAGCAGATTCAGTACTGTTATTTGAATTCGAAATATAGCCTTATCAGTAAATGTAAAAAACGATAATATTTCACCAAACTCCTCAATAACATGACTTGTTTCGCTATCAAAGTGGTTCATCTTATCGTTTGTGAAGTTTTTTACAAAATCTTATCTAATGAAATATCTATATATTATTACACTTATTGCATTGTTTATGCTAACTATAGATAGGTTGATAAGTTATAGTAATTGTGTAATCAGTATTGCTGTTTTGTTGGACAAAGAACAACATGAAGTGGAACTTAAATCGAGTTTATGTACACTCTAATGCAATGTAAATATTTCCGACTTTTCTTCGGACTTATCAAAATCCCATGAAAACAGTTTCATAACTGACTCGAGATTTGTTCACCTCGGCGCAACACGGAAGTTATTGTTATTTGTCTGTCAACATTTATTGAGACTGAAAAGCATGATGAGTTTGTACTAAAGAATTGGATATGAAGGGTTTTCCAATAAACGTAATATAACTTGGTTACATTGCAGTGTGCAGTGTAGGACTCGAGGTAGGACTGAACTAAGAATCAGCCATTAAATTAATAATGTGAGGAGCTAATGAGTTATTCAAATGGAACCGATTTCAAAGATTCTCAATGATTCAATTGATAATTCTTAGTTTGATTGATTTTTTAATTTGAGTATCTAGTGTGTTCAAACTGCTGAAATCGAAATGTATGAGATTTCATAAAATAAATTTTGAAATGCTCGAATGGAGTATGAATCATATAATAAATTTCATTAAGAATGTGTTCAACGCCTAAGTTATGGTGAATTCCGGTGTATTTGGAAAATTATCATAATCAAAACACTTCCTAAGAATGTTTCGGGATTTAATGTGTAAAATTTCTGCGAATCGTTTCAAATTTCATGTGAAAAGTAGTACTCAAGATGATATATGAATTTCAATAATTGAAATATAGTATCACATTACATAGTTGAACTCATAGATGCAATGGATTGATCAGAAGCAACATGTTTGGTTTTATTAGACTATTAGAGTATAGCATTTAATATTTTGAATATTGACCTCCTTATAGCAAAATTGGGATATTATGGCTTCTCTGAAGCCGTTCGCTACTTTTTCAAAAGATATTTGTCTGGAAGAATTCAGATTGTAGAAATGTATGGGTAAAATAGAATTCAGTTAAAGGGTGTGATATACTTTTATGTAGATGATTTCCAGATTATAAAAGTGTTTGAGCCATCTAGATCAAGTCTATCTCTAGAAGAAGTAAATGAAGTAGAAGGAGTAATTTAAGATCTACCCAGAATATATGTGCTGAGAAAATAGCTCTTCTATTATCGTTATTGATTCTCAATTCAATTGAAGCCAAAGTTGAAATGAACAACAATACGAATATCAACATCGATGGAGTAGAATATCTCGGAATAACTGCTAGAAATCTGGATGTGATTTTTCATAACCATCTCAACTCTTTGAAGAATGTTTCAAAAATATTACCTAAATCTATATCAAATTTAAATTTCTTCATGAATAGTAACCGTTGACGTCCAACTCAAAATTCAATATAAAATTAATTCATTTGTTCTTATTAGTTTCCAAATCAACTGATATATCCACTGTTTATGAAAACCCTTTGAAAGTAACTGATGGGTTGCAGATCAAGATCGGCGATAGCCGGTCAAAAAGCAGTTTTGGTGGAAACATTGAGGGTGTTGAAAGCTGATGAAACTCAGAAACGCCATGTCACTGGGGATATCATCTCACCTGGGCAAGTCTTGGGAATCGAACATCTCAGAGACCCACGCCTTAACAAGGTAGGAAAATGTATGTAACATTTTTTTTTATTATTATTTCAATGGTGAGTTTTACAGAATGATTTTGCACAAGAAGGTTAAATAAATAACGTGAAAAAAAGTGTGTGTTCAATATTATTTATTATCTAAAGGGTACAAGTTCAATAAAAATCAACATGAAATTATTAGAACATTGGTTCCATATATACAGTCAAACTGCTTCAAATGCAACATACGAGCCCTATCTCAGTGAAGTTGGTCTAACTCCCCAAATTGAACAAATGCGTTCAAATAATATAGAATGTATTCAACAAGATGATGCCGCTTGCCATACGGCTAAAAAAAGTGGAAGATTGGTTGTTAGAAAACAATATTCCAGTTTTAAAATGGATGTCGAGTAGTTCAGATCTATCGCAGATTGAAACCTTGTAGCATACCATGAAAAAAAAACTCCGAAAGAATCCCGAAAGAACCGTTCCATGATTGTGAACACGTCTTCAAAAAATTCAAAACAGTTCAACACAGTTTGACATTAGTTGACACTATGTCAAGACATCAAAGCAGTAATCAGTCAAAAGGTGATTTTGATCGTTTCGTTCATTTTTATTAATCGGCAGTTTTTTTCAAGTCGTGAGATATTGTTTCTATTGAAAAAAATATTTAAGGCTGATGTTAAATGTACATATCCTATGTTATCAGAAATACATTTTTGTTTTGAATACTTTTTCGCTAATATGACAAATTTTATAAAAAACGTTGTTTTGATATTTGGGCCAACAACATTATCTGGCTCTCATGCAACGCATGCATGAGATTAGATCTCTGATTGGATTTACAAAGAGATGTTTTCATATCTATTTGTTGAGATGATTATATTTTTATGATATCACTATTATCTACAATCTTCAATGAAAACAATTATCAATCTAAAGAAAAATACGATGATCAATGAATTATATTATGTGGAATAATCAGAAGAAATTATGAATAAAGTGTAGTATTTCAACAACAGATACTGGAATAGATCATGTTCCTATGTGTCCCTAATCCCTCCCTAAGAATTAGTGTCATAGAGTGCCGTCCGACTGCTGTCCGACTACTTGGCCTTAGCCATGGCTTTAGCTTTACTCTGTAGGGAGCCGCAGTCTTTCTTCTTGTAGAGTTACATAAAGATCTGCCTAGTGAGGAACAAAACAGTATGTAACTATTTGCGATAGAATATAAGCACGTCGCCCCACTTGACGGCAACAACTTGAACACTTCTGAGCGGTTTCTTTTTATGATATGACCAATAAGCACAAACAAAAAACAAATGTGAACCAATAGAAACAAAGTTAACTGGTCGTTTTGACAGCTTTCAAGAATTCCGATAGGTGGCGTACGCTTATCTATCTATCTACGTTTATTGGATTTCTGTCTCCTTTCGGTAACAATTTCTCCAGATCAGGTAATTAATTTTTTTCAAGAATAAATATTTGGTTATGTAATAATATTATCACTCGACTCGCCACATAAGACACCGGTTGTCTATCACAATGTCCTGAAGCCGAGTCATCAGTATTCATAAGATTCGAACGTATGTACTCTTATCCAGCAAATCCGTTGCTGACCCAGACTGGTTACCGGCGTAGAGATAATGGAGCACGTTTGACTTCAAGTATGGCCCCCTTATCCGACGAATCCGTCATCATCCGTCATCATCCGGCCTCTATACCGGCGTAGAGATAAAAGCCCGATATTTCTCACACACATTTTTTAAACTCCACATTAAATATTGGATTCATTCAATCCAGATCAGATAATTAGAAAATTTTGGACTTGCACACACATTAACCTGACTTTTAGCCTGGCCAAAAGTCGCTTATATTCTATCGCGAATAGTGACGCGTTTGATGAGTTTTTTCAAGGCTTCCTTTCTTAGTTGGCCTACTCGAGGTCTCTATCTATAATTTTCAAAGAATATATAATTATGTTCTTTGGACATCTTGGCTATCATTCCATCACTAGAAATACCAGTCAGGCAACCTCGAGATATTTCCACCAATTCTCTATCAAATTCTTTCCGGGAACGGTAAAGATTTAGAATTATCCGCCTAGGGAATTATCAACAAGAAATCTTTAGTAGAAGTCCATATTGCTCAAAGTGAAGTGAAATATTTCACAGGGAGGAAGGAATGCTCGAAGTATCCACAAGAACTTCAGGTACTCCATCCACCACTTGTCCAGGTCCCTCTAAAAATCATTCATGGCCGCCTTTTTAATCTACGCTTCATACCTTTCTAGGGTCTCGCGTTTACTCTCGAAGAACGCCAGGCTCTGGGCATTCACGGTCTACAACCAGCCCGCTTCAAATCTCAAGAAGAGCAAATTGAACTCTGCCGGATATCAGTGGAGCGGTACCAAGAAGACCTGAACAAATACCTCTATTTGACGGAACTTCACGACAGAAACGAAAAGCTGTTTTTTAGACTCTTGTCCGAAAATATCGAGAGGTTGATGCCTATCGTTTACACGCCCACGGTAGGATTGGCATGTCAAAAGTTCGGGTTGATATACAGGAGACCTAGGGGATTGTTCATCACTATCAATGATATCGGGCATGTCTACGAAGTCATCAAGAACTGGTAAGTGCTCAATAGTCCTAAAACTTGTGGTTCATCCATTCATTCAATTGACATTTCATAATACAGTGTTTTCTCCAATTTTCTTCTGCGAGTACAAGCGACGAACGGAAATTTAACCGATTTGTCAATTTGATTTGCAATAATCTCGAAATATATGAAGTCATAACGTTTCATTGGGAATATATAGAGTGGATTCCCATTTCATTTGGTCTATATTTCAAAAATGACCGATCATGGAGGTAAATCAACCTCAATTTCACCTTTTGGTTGCACCAAACCTATAGGTTTCGTGCAGCCAACCACTGACATCTAATGTCAACAAAAACAGGTCTAATGTCATCAAAAACAGGTCTAACGTCAACACAAACTGAAATGAGATAAAGTGAGACCAGGTTAATTTTGGGACAGCACGTTGAATCACGTGGTGTCCCAATGTTAACCTGGCCGGACTATTTTGACTGCAATTGATAGTGAATTAATTTTACTGTCTTTCTGGTACAAGTGAATCATGTGTATCCATACCAAACATAGCCCTGAACTTATGTTGTGTCTTTCATCATGATATTATATGTTCTGAAGTTTTAGTGCATACACGAACGTCTTTTCCGAGGATCAATCGTGTATTTCAAACATGCTTGATATGTAATGTACTTCTTTTTCAGGCCTGAACCCAACGTCAAAGCTATTGTGGTAACAGATGGTGAACGTATTTTGGGTCTAGGAGACTTGGGAGCTTGTGGAATGGGTATTCCTGTGGGAAAACTTGCTCTGTATACAGCCTTGGCTGGATTCAAACCTCATGAATGCTTACCTATAGTATTAGATGTTGGGACAAATAACCAGGTAAGATATTTATTTTTGAAGCTACCATTGTTTAATGAGGTAAATGCACACCAGGAAAATATTTGCCACAGTTTGAGAGCTAGAAAATTTTTGCAATTGGGCATGTTTCTGTCAGAATGTGTATTTCATCAATCAAAAATGTAACCTATTGTTTTTCCGCTAAAGGGCGTTGAAATTGAAACTATATATATTCATATTTTTGTGTGAGCACAAAAAATCACGGCAAAATAGCGAATAAAGGTGAGAAGTCAAAGGAGATTCTCGAATGTTCACAAACTAAGTCACTCAATGCACTGTTTCAACTGACGAATATGAGTATTGTATTTTTTTTGGTATAGGCGAGGCTTTGTCAATAGATTGCATGATATGTCACAAAAATTTTTGCAAAGAGAAAGCTGGTACATCGACATTATTATGTTTCGGAAATTCCCGATAAACTCGCGAAATATTGAAATTGGTCAATTGTTCCCATCACTTTATTATTGCATACTGACACCACCTGGCACAGTGGTGGCCGTGAAATCATGCAAGCACAACACTCCTGTTTTTGTTTTTGTTTAATATCGTCGAATGTCGTGTACACATTTGAAAATATGGAGTGATATGGCAGTAGGTAATGAGATTTTGAATGAAGTCATTGATTTTACTATACCGGGTGGCTACGGAAGTATTGCCTACGGACTATCTCAGTTATTGTATGAAGTAGGTTTGTGAAATTTGGAGCGTCGATAGAATGACATAAGAGCTAGAATTTGAGCATATTGACATGTCGAAGTTAACTTCCGGTCTGACCGGAAGTAACATCAACTTTCTTATTTTAAATAGAAACCCTATTTTTTTTCTTTTCGCATTATTCAGCATTCTATTCCCTTTCTAATGACATATCACAAGTTGGTGTCTAACCAGAAACTAGATCAGAAAAAAATTATTATTGAAATTCACCGAGTAGGCCGTGGAAGCAAAATGAAAGCAAAAAATTGAAAAGTTGGCTATGGAAACCATACGTCACTTGATAACAGTTGCTACTAAAAAAAAGGAATTTCGATGTTTTTGTTCATGCTTGCAGTAAAACTGATTCAGTACTGATTTTCCTTCAGTGCTTCTGAGCGACAATAAGTTATATACTTTGATATTGTTATGTACTGTGCCACTGCCTAGATTTTATGGCGAAAAAAAATTCAGCAGCCCAGAGCCAAGTATTGAAACATCGTAAAAAAGCTCTGATGATGAAAATGTTATAAATCTATGAAACTTCCAGAATATTATCTACTTTCAATGACGGATGTCGCGGTATTGAATAATATTTATGCATCCATCGCGAGAAACATTATACCTACGGCTGCACGGCGGGCTCGGCCTGCCGGCTACGAAGGAGTGGGGTGGCTTGTTACAGGGACGGCGTAGCGTAGACAGATTAGTCATTGTGGTTATTTTTTCGCGTTAGAGGAGTACTTGAAATTTTTTATTCTGGCTTCAGATTTAGCAGGAAAAATAAATAGTTATGGCCAGCGTAAGAGTATGTATCAATGATGATCTGGTAAGCCAATTATTATGATTTCATCAAAAACAAAAATGAGATGACGAACTAGAGCAACATCTACCATGGCCGACCCAGGTTCTGAGGGCACGAGCCGTCACTGTTGACAAGAATTAATACTTGTGTACAATTCGTCAGGATTATATCTAGAATAAATACAATACAATAATAGTAATGAGTACCTACTTTCAAAAAAATATGCGTTTTATAAAAATTTTGGATAAAATATCATCAAAAAAGTTGAAAATAGTTTATGAAACATAGTCAGAGAACTCACTAAGTGAGTAAAACATATTTTCAATGAGGAGAGCTCTCAGGCTATTCCCGAATTTGAGGTGAGTGGTACAATCCCTGACACTTCTGGCAGATTTTAAAAAATTTCGATACCCATGTTTGTAAGACCGGTGTAGGTTAGTTATAAGGTTTTTTGCGTGGGTAAAGTAGATTGTTATTCCTTGTTGAATGGGAGTGTATGTCAGTATGTGCAATTCGATAATTTCGTTAGTTCGTTTTGTTTACTGCACAACCATAATTTCATGCCACGCCCACCAGATTGCCTATTTAATCATGATTTTAACACTTACGACACAAAATATACAACAATTGGACATGCAACTATACGTCGGTACCTTGGATATTAATTATTAGAATCCGTCTTTCCGGACTCTTAGGTCTTAGATTATTCAGTTGATGAAATTTAAATAAGGAACATCTAACCTAACATCAGCTGCGCACTTCGAAAGCGCAAATTCGTTACTGCATGGATAAATTCAAATTACCGAAAACGGTTGTTTGCAGTGACCTCTACAAAGAAAATCATTTTTCCACAAAAATTTAAGAGAAACCGATTTTTCTACTAGAAAATGTGATACAGGTATGTACAAAAAATACATGTAGGTGGCGTCACCGATTTTTCTACTAGAAAATGTGATACAGGTATGTACAAAAAATACATGTAGGTGGCGTCACCCTCAGGAAAGAGACAAACCAACATCAAATTTGTTTTGTCATTTAAACCTCTCCCAGATAACAAATTTCACTGGAATATCACGATTATTTTGGAATTTATTCACAAAAAACGGAAATAAGAATCAAATTTTGACGCTCTGTATCTCAGAAACGAACAACAAATCTAATATCCAGTTTTTTATTTCTATTGTAACTTGTGACTTGTTTTATACCTTGTATGGTCTACAAAATTAATAAAGTTGATTGATTGATTGATGCTTCCATCTATCCAACTTTGCAGACTCTTCTGGAAGATCCCCTGTACGTCGGCCTGCGCCAGAAACGGACGACGGGCAAGCTGTACGACGACTTCGTCGACGAGTTCATGGAGGGCATCGTGAAGCGGTACGGCCAGAACACGCTCATCCAGTTCGAGGACTTCGGCAACCACAACGCGTTCCGCTTCCTCGACAAGTACCGCGAGGAGTACTGCACGTTCAACGACGACATCCAGGGCACGGCGAGCGTCGCCGTTTCGGGGTTGTTGGCCTCGAAAAGGGTGACGGGGAAGAATCTGTCTGACAACAAGTTCCTCTTCTTGGGGGCGGGTGAGTGGAGAAAATGATGAGCTAATGGGGAAGTTGCCAATATTGTAAATACTGTAAAGTTTGTAAATAATTAATATACAGGGTGAGTCATGACTAACCAGCCATAAACCAATGGCGGATAGTGGGAGTAAAGGTGAGTTGATAGATCTTATATATGAATAAGTATATTCTGCCTATGCCTAACAGAATTGAATTCGGGGCGAAACTCTGATGAACGATATTTCAGGAATGTATCGATGTTATCGCCTGAAATTCACCAGCAATTTACCTCTACTAACACACCACATGATAGCCTATATGTAAGGAAGATTCCAGATCCAGACATGGGGAGCTAATTTTCTTTTTAAATGTCAAAATTTCGACTTTCTGAATCGTATTTTACGAAACTTCCATCAGAATCAGAAAGATCAGGAAAACACTACAAGTGTAGCTTGGTGGTTTCAATAAATAACAATTATCTTCGTCCACATTCTCCATACCGACGACAATGACGATAAGGAAGACCTTGCCCGCTCCCTTTATCAACTTTTAACCCCATGAAAAAAGTACAGGGTTCCGGTTTTGCTTAAAATTGATTTGTGGAATTGTAAGTACAATTTTCCTTGAATATATTTTTTTAGAAAATTCATAATTAACATGTTAAAACTGACTTTTCAGAAATGAAAAATGTTTCCACTTTGAATATTAATGTGTTTTCTGATCTGTCCCATACCCGATGTCCCCAATTTTTGTTTTCTAAGATACAAGGGAACTGTTGGGCTTACAGACTTCTTCCTATATCTATGGTCCTGTACTGAAATCAAAGCTGAATAACTGTTCCAAGACTTCAATTCAGAAAAAAATTTCAGTTAAATGAGTATTAAAGCAAATATTCAGCCCGGCAGACGACGAAAACTCAAATTTTCATCTTAAAAAAAAATCCAATCCTGAAAAAGCAAATCAGTGGATTCCCAGGTTTTTCGCCCACCACGAAGTTAGCACAGGTCTTTTGAAGCTGCAAAGTTGGTTTCACACTACTGGTAGATACCCTAACAATATACCAAAAATCAGAAACGTGAATTTATCGGAGGTTGGATGTTTCAAGTCAGTGGTCTATCAATCAATCAAAAGTGTTTTTTTAACTACTTGGAATTGAGAAATCTCCAAACCTTCACAGTTTGGGTAAAATCTTTGGCCCAACTGAATTATGTTTGAAATATCTTTCAATGAACATTCTGTAGAGTAGGACAATTTTCAAGTTTCATGCCTATATATGAGACTAATTCCCTAATTTTTATATAAATCGCTATTGTTGAAGAATATTGGCAACACTTGTATCATGAACAGCAAAATACAATGGTTGTCGAATATCAATGGATTATGTGATTTCTTAGGGAAGAAAAATATATGGCCGAGTTGAATGATCCTGCATTGATAATGAAAGCATTTGCAGAAGTGATTAACGGACTATGGTTGGAAGATGCAACTGATACTGTAGTGAATATCGTTCCTTTGAAAAATCAGATACAAAGATTTGCTCCACGTTATGGATTACGCTGAACAGGACGCCCAAGAGTTTCTTAGATACCTTCTAAAAAGGCCTTCATAAAGATTTGAATAGGATAACAGAAGGGTCTGAACTAATCTTCACAGAAATAGATGGGTGACTTAGTGATCATGAAAAAGCCCAAGAGTCATGGTCTAGATATTTGAGAATAGAAAACTCGATTATTGTAGACAACTTTGTTGGTCAATCAAATTCAACTTTGAGATGTTCCTATTGTGGACATTGCTCTGTGAGTTTTGAACTTTTCTGGGATCTATCATTACCGATTCCAAACACAACGGGCCAACTCAGACTTTCACAATGCTTAGACCTTTTCACCAGCGAGGAAATCTTGAACGGTGACGAGTCACCAACATGTTCAAAATGTAAGGAAAGAAGGAATTTCAGGAAGTCTTTGTCAATACATAAATTCCCTAATATACTAGTGATCCATTTAAAACGCTTCTCGCCATCGGAGAATTTTCATGGAAAAATAAACAGCACCATTGATTTTCTCTAGAAGATTGGGATATGGGTAATTATGCAGCATGGAAAAATAAACAGCACCATTGATTTACCTCTAGAAGATTTGGATATGGGTAATTATGCAGCAAATAATGAAATCCCTTGTAGATATAATCTATATGCTGTATCTAATCATAGTGGAACAACTTTGTCTGGACACTACACAGCATATTGTAAACACCCAATCATTGATTTATGGAACCAGTATGATGACTCGATTGTTTCACAGAAATCATCTAAATCTATTGTGAATGGAGAAGCATACATCCCCTTCTACGAGCAGAAGGTTGCATGGAAGCGGAACAAAGGAAATATAGATGAGGGTACTGCTATCAACAATCAAGAAAATAATTAAAGGCTCAGTAGAGTAAAACAGATCACAAGAAATGAGATGTCAGTTCTACAGGACGTCTCATCATTCAAATTGTCACCAAACCAGACCATCATCTCGCGAAAGAGTCTTAGATTGTCTTCCAAGGAGAGTTCTAATGATGTCTCCCCCATCATCAAATCTATGCTGAAAAGAGTGGACAGGCGGTGATGAAGGAAAAAACGGCATCTGCGAATGTTCCACCAAAACGTTCCACTAGAAATATGAGGAATAAATAATGTTGGCCGTTTAAAGAATTTTAAATATTCATATTGTATAATAGCTTTATAAAGTTGTTGAACACCAAAGTAAAGCTCGACCCTAATTGAACAACCCGTCTTTTCATATATGTTTTTTATTTTCATTCTAGGAGAAGCGGCTATTGGTATTGCTGATTTGACTGTGAAAGCTCTGGAAAACGAGGGCCTCAGCCTCGAGGAAGCGCGAGATAGAATTTGGATGGTGGACATTGACGGTTTGTTGGCAGTTGACAGGCCTGAAGGCAATCTCGAAGGTCACAAGAAATTTTATGCCAAAAAGCATGCGCCCATCAAAGATTTCGCTGCCATCGTTCAAGAGATCAAACCATCGATTCTCATAGGTATGACAACATTTATTGAACTTTTCAACGTACTGAAGGTACTCCGAATATCATAATTCTCTCGAAAAATATTTTGCGGCTATATTTCTTCAGCTGATTTTATTTAAAGTAACAGCTTGAATGGGGATGTAAACACTAGAGTTCCTTGATGTACTTAACACTGCTGTTTTGACTTTTTTGTATCTATGAGAGTACATACAGTATGACAACCACTGACAGTCTGGCATAAATAAATTGATAGAAAAAGCGGGAATTGACAGTACATGAGTGATAACCACTTATTTTGATGTTGCCAAGTACATCTAATAATACATCTGAACTTATTGCTAAAAAAATCGTTCAACATTTATTAAGTATCAGACTCCCGGTCACAACCAGGCACAAAATATGTCAAATAATTACAAAATACATCATCAGCTGATTGAAAACGGTTTTTGCCTGAAATGGAAACTTTTTAATCAAAAAACTACTTTGAAGTGATTTGTATTGTCATTGTGGGTAATGTATTTTTTTAATTTTTATTTTAAAAGAACTGTCTATCTGCAATTGGGCCTAAGCCTGTTCATGGAATATTTCTGACATTTCGTGAATTTGAATGATTTTTTATTTTCAGGTGCCTCTGCAGCGGCTGGCGCATTTACTCCAGAAATATTGGAATCCATGGCATCATTCAATGAAAGACCTATCGTTTTTGCATTGAGTAACCCAACTAGCAAAGCTGAGTGTACTGCAGAGCAGGCATATTTTAATACAGGTGTAAGTATATTACACATTTTATTGAAAATTCAATTCAGATAATTTCGTCCAATCAAAAGCCTGTACGATACAAAATCGCTACCATAGCAACTAAACACATTTCTGGAAATTTGTTCCTCCTCCTTGGGGCAAGGAGCATGAAATTACACTGGACATTTGTGTCGTTCATAGGTAGAATGACATTTACATTCAACTTTAGATTACATTGAATTCATTATTCAAGTTGATAAGTTCCTTGTGAGAAAATATATTTCTACCAACTTCAGCTAATTGAAATTGTAAATAACTGGGAGATTGAGCTACTATTGACTTACCACCAGCTGCTTTATTGATTTTTTGCGTAACTAAAGTCGGTATTTTGTATTTTATTTAGAGTCATCTTATCTTTTTTATTTCGGTGGGAATGGGCCTATTTCACAAAATTTTTTTATTTTATAATTCGCTAGAACTCACCCAAACTAGCTGACCACCGCAAACCGTTTCTTGCTGTGAGCTCCCTACGTTTTATAAAAAATTATTGGATTCCCCGATTTTTCGGACCTCTGAAAACGAGGCGATGATGTGACGTCAAAACCCTAATACTGAGACAAGACTATTCCAGACAGAGATGAATGATACATGATTTCTGACAGAGTGAATTAGCGCGAGATCACAGTTGAAAGAATTAATATATCAGTTGCCTCAGTCTCCGTCGGGCGTTTGGTATTTTCTTTTAACTATGGCAAGATGAGGTTTCTACGTCATAAGAGGGTCCGTTTTCAGAAGGTACTATTATTTATGTCCAAAAATAAAACATTCCAGTTAATTTTTCGATCGAATTATGTCATCAATCATTATTTATGTATAAAATGATCATTATAAACACGGTTTGAGTTGAAAGTTCTACTAAGGTGTACACGCCCATTTTCTTACCACACATTTTTCGAAAAAATCGAGAGACAAATGAATTATTTAATATTGAAAATGCTATTTCAATACCTATGAATTAACGCTACTGAGCTGTGATGTCAGTGTCTTCTTGTAATTTCATTGGTTGGGGTTCTGACGGCTGGAAATCACTCCGCTGTGGTCAGATCTCTATAAAATCCTTGAATTGATCCTATGTGCAAGATGGTGCAAGGAATGCAATGATTCGAAATTTAGTTTCAAAATAAGCTAGGATAAAATGTAATGCAGGCATCTAACAGTAAGACACTTTTTATATACTGTTTGGTTTTAGTTATTTTGAAATTTCATTTGACTAATTGTGATAATCAACAAATTGAATAATGTTACTATATCTCAAGCACTCATTAGCGGAAAAGATTGCTGATCTGGCAACTATGTCTACAAGAGAAAGAGATGAAGCAACTGGCACTACCATAATATTGACAAGTTAAAAATACCTCATTCCTCTCATTACTTCACCGTTCCTATTTCTCAATTTTATTGACAAGACGGCAGTGATGCTTGTACTAAAATCAATAAAAATAGAACCAAGTAATGATAATAATATTTATTCATTTCATTCTCTGCTATGAACATTACATTGCATCTCATATAAATATAAATATATTCATTAACATTTACTATGAAATAACATGAATATAATCAGACAGATTCATATCTGGTATGAGATTATTCATGCATTATTAAATTAAATTATAGTTATTGCAATAAACAACAGATTCAAAAAAGAAGCTCATGAAAAGTACATTATGACATGATGAAATAAATTAGTGAATGAGAAATCATTCACTCAGGTTTGATTTTCTCTTTGCAAGAGGATATGTTTCTTGACTTTAATTTTGAATTGGGTGATATTTGTGCAACTTTTGATATCTTCAGGTAATTTATTGAATTTTGAGATAGCTCCGTGAGTGAACTTTTTTCGACCAAGTGTAGAATTAGCAGCATCAAGATGAAACAAGTCATATTGTCTAGTATGATCATGGATTTGAGAATTTCTTACCAGTATGAAGTAAGATTTGAGGTGTTTATTGATAATATCAAAAGAAATTTCGAGAGTATTTATCAGATACTTAGTGCTCTTTCAAAGAAAATGTATTTGTTTCTTTATGAAGTTGATTTGATGGGGTGTCATATGGAAGACGATACAGTACTTTTAATGCATTCTTATATGTACACAAATGTTGCTAAAATTATTCTTGGAACGTGAACCCCAAATATTTATGAGATAGTTCATTTTACTATTGATTGATTCAAAATTTTTTTTCTTTTTTCCCTATGGTATGATACTCATCACAACTTTCTGTCTAAATTGGCAACATTCTTGAGAATTTGAAACGTTCTAATAATGATGACAGGCTCGCAGTGATGTCATGCGCAAAATAAAACGAATATTGGACTCGTGAGTGGCAAACCATACTTTATTTCCACCATGATACATACCAAGATAATAAAAACGTGGTAAAACCGTGTTTATCTAACGGGTCTTCAACAATGATTGAGCGCCACGTGACCGTTTTTAATGCAGCGCGCGTCTCTTTTTCACCCATGTTAAAGAGATTCCACTGTATTGTTGACCCGGTATAATAGGCAAACTTATTCGAGGTCACAAATGTATTAGGTTACGAAACTTGGCGTGTCATGGGTATAAATATTATGCTCACTCGGATTGTATCTGAGAACAATAAATGCAAACTCGTCTTCGTTTAAGAGAGAATACATTTATTTCGCCATCAGATATCATCAATCATAATATCTCCTCCTCCATCTCATCATTCAGCATCATCACAATAATTGCCGATGGTTAATGCTGTTATTGGTTGGAAGATTGTAATTTTCCATTCATTCATGCCATTTATTTAGCTCGAAATAAAACCAAAATGAAGTAAGGAAAACAAAACAACATACGGGCATCGCCCTATCTTTTCAGGTACGTCTGTGTGTAATATGTGCTGTAAACTATATATGATAGTAATAAATGACTACCGTACGATTTCTGAAATTAAGCTGTGTCGAGCGCGGTTAGTAGATGGGTGACCATTCAAGGAATCTCCGCGTAAGCCCGTACATCTGTAGCGGAATAGCACAATATCATAGCTACAGCTACCATATCAATGTGCACAAGATATGGTACTGATATGCCGTCCTTCGGAGGGACGTTGAGCCGGCGGTCCCGAGGCCATGGATGTTGGGCTCGTTGAAGATCCCTGCCTCTGCTTGGAATACCAGAGGATTCAGCAAAATTTTCGGTTAGGGTTAGTGTACTCACCGGCGTCGGTGATTAGCCTTAGTAGCAGAAAAAGGCCTACGTTAAATAAATGAAGAAGAAGAAAACAAAACAACCTTTATTTTGTTATTTGGTAATGTGCATGTAATGCCTTTGTGGATTCTGCTCTCGGGTAGGGTTAGACAAAACTGAGTAAGTGATCGAGCAGGCAACACCGAAGTTTACGAACACGGGTACGCAACTCGGTTAGGTAGACGAACGTGCAGGTTGATGATCCAGTCAACCTGAGTAGGTTTCCGAAAAGGCCTAATGAGCGACATTTCAGGGCCGCGTCATTTTCTGCAGCGGCTCGCCCTTCGGCAAAGTCGTGATGGGCGACAAGACCTACTATCCTGGCCAGGGCAACAACGCCTACATCTTCCCCGGCGTATCGCTGGGCGTCCTCCTGTCCGGCATCCACCACATCAACGAGCAGATATTCCTGATCGCCTCGGAAACAGTGGCGGAGAGCGTGTCCGAAGACGATTTGGCCAGAGGCAGCCTCTACCCGCCCTTGAGTTCGATCAAGGAGTGTTCGGTCAACATCGCCTGCCGTATATTGGAGTACGCCTACCAAGAACGTGAGTACAAAAAATCACAGCGTATTTACATTAGATTTATATACATGCCTTTTCTCTAGAAAAAACCTTTGAAGACATAGTTTTCGATGCTTGGTATTACTATCAGCAATAACCTTTCTTGGGAAAATCACGTGAGATCAATTGCTCAAAGTGCATCCCGAAAACTTGGTGTTCTGTTTCGGGCCAGGAGCTATTTCACTTCCAGTGAGCTGCTTATGATCTATAAGGCACAGATCCGACCTGTCGTGGAATAGTGTTCCCATATTTGGAGTGCAGCACCCAAACATACCCTGAAACTGTTGGATTCTGTCCAAAAAAGGGCAATTCATCTCGTGGGTGATGCCTCGCTCACAAACTCACTCACTTCTCTGGAACACCGTAGAAAAGTTGGCGATATGGCTCTATTTTATAGATATTTTCAATTGTTCCTCCCTCTTGGCAGTCCCCGCGAGATTAACCCGTCGAGTTCACGCATCGCACCCCTTCGTGGTCACTTTGGAGACCTGCAGAACATCTCCATCGCATATAACCACCAGAAATTTGAGAACACCAATTCCTACCTTATTTTCCTTGGTTCTCACGATGTTCTCTGAACATTACAGGATATCTTTTCTCGTGGGAACCAGAACATATAGATGAGTAATATTCAAGTCCGATTTGGAAGGGAAAATAAGTAATTAGCATTGTGGCGTTACTGGCGTCGCATCTATTGAGGGGGGATTATCGCTGGGCATTTTTGGCATATTACAGCTATCATATCAATGAGCACAAGATATGGTAAGGATATTATGCCGTCCTCCGGAGGGGAAGTTGAGCCGGTGGCTCTGAGGCCAAGGATGTTGGACTCGTGAAAGATACCTTTACGGACACCACGGAGGACCATTCCCTTCATGGTTAGTTGGGGGTAGTGTGAACACCAGCTTCGGTGTTTAGCCTTGAGATAAAAAAGAGGACGACGTTGAAGGAACAAGAAGCAAATATCAGAAATAAACTCAGCTTTGATGGAAGCACCCCGCTCATACGTCGCAGACTATTCGATGTTAGCAAGCATAGAGTCAATTAAACAGTAGATTGTTGATTTGGTTTTTTGTGTTTGAATTTTTGAGTTGTTCAATCAAGAATAATGGAAAATGATCACATATAAAGCCATAAGAGGCTCATAAATTTACATCTATCATCACTATTAGGAATTGAAAACTGAGAGGATGGCCAGCTTCACAAGTAAGAATTAATAATATTAATATAAATACCGGGTGACCCCGGGTATCGGGCCACCACTGTAACTTCAGCATTCGTACGCGGATTCTTCTGAAATTTGGTACAGTTATATAAGCAACCATTTCGAATTTGATCACATTACAATCCAATAGGGTGCACTTCCGGTTTTTCTGGAAATTCCAGCAACTTTGCATACACAAACTTAGTGATGAAAACTTATATATCATCTTTACAAGGTGACTAGGCAAGGGCGCATCTAGTAATTTATATAATAGATATTCCTCTCATCTGAGAATATATTCGAACTTGCATTGAAAGAGGAGGCCAAATGAAACAAAAGCATACCTCATGGCTCAGTGGACGATCTGATGCATACAATCGAAAAATATTCGCCTTTATCAGATAGAAGAAATCGGTTATCAAATGAATCTGTATTCAATTTTCTGTTTAGGTATTGCATCAGTATATCCAAAACCTAAAGACATGAGGAAGTATGTAGAATCTCACCAGTACAACTACAATTACGAACCGTCATTACCGCAGACCTGGCAGTGGCCCAACCCACCGTACATCAAGACGAAACCCATGGAACCCATCAAACTGAAAGCATAATCATTGTAGATTATCATAGATGATAATGAGATGTTGCACCAGATGGAGCGAAGGATTTGGAACAACTCTCATAAACACCTCATAATAATTATTATTGAAAATCTTTTGCTCTTGTTAGTACCCCGGTAATAGTTGTCAAAAATAAACATGGAATTTCTCTCGAATGACCGGGTATGAAGTATTTTTCGAGGGATATTTTGATTGTTTGCTCATTTTCGACAACTCATTGCAAGTATTATAAAATTTAGGTAAATTATTTCCTGTTATGTAAAGTTTACCGACCTTGTGATGCAGATAATTTATTTGTTGTTATTTAACTAAATTCAGGTAGAAATAATATACAATATGAATGTGTACTATATTGTGCCATATATCGTAATAAAATGTACTTATTTATTCAGGAAATGATGCATCAGAAAGTATTATTTTGTGTATAATTGTTTTCGAAAAAAAAAAACATTCTATTTATTTAACGATTTTGATTCAGTATTTAGTTCTTGTCATTTAATTAAATTTTGAAGTATGTCCAAGAAATTAATAAATGATATTTGACTTTTGATTGGTTTTTATTATGATGAGATCTCTGATCAAACAATGATCTATACAGAGTGTCCCAAAATTACTGAGACACTGAGCTACCATGTGTAATACAGGTCAAAATAAGTTGAATGGTCCCAATTTATTTACCTAAATTTGGTTCAATGGTGGAATCGGAGTACTCATTCGTATCCAGTCAACCCTCAAAAATGTCGTATCCGCGAATTTCGATGATTTTGAGGTAATATTTCTATAAATATGAACCAAAAGCGCTAATGAATTGCGGTTCGAATAGCATCCAAAAACTTCTAACCTCCAAAAGTTGAAACAAAATTCCAACACCTACCTCTCCTCCATCCTCCCTAGGTACGCGCGATATTCCACGAACATTATAGAAATTTCCTTTCGTGCGCTCAAAAACCTAATGGCTATCTCTGTATATTACACAAGCCTTGAGAAACTTCAATTGGGTCATTTAACTGACATATTGTTGTTTTCAATGCGATCTGGGGTGAGCATAAGTATGAATATGAATATTTTGAAATCAAATTACCTATCTGAAATATAGAAAAATTATATTAAATCCAAGATTACTATTTAAAATAGATTCATTATTTTTGAACATTTTTTCTAAACCTTTCAATGACTAGAATGGATGAAGAAAAGTTGAAAACTGGTAAGTGGAGTAATTCCCAACATCACTTCACTTAATTTTTTTCTCAGATGAACAATTCTGATATTTAGATACTGACATGTTCTCATCATTTTCAATTACTTCTACAGCACATCTTCTCGGAAACCATCCTCGTTTTCTTTGTGAAGCATCTTCACCTGATAGGTCATTCTGGACTTTTTCACCAAACAACCAGTGCCTGCAAATAGTACACATAAAATCGAAATACAATAATAATAATATTTGTAATTCGCATAAATACAGGGTTTTCCGTCAGGAAATGCAGTGTATTAATTAAGTGTTTCAACTTTTGCCTAAACCTTTCCCCGATTCCCGTAAAAAATTGTCAACCATCAGTTCAAGTCGGATATTACCTTTCGACAGGGGCGAAATATTCTCAGAAATATTGACGCTCTGCCACTTATATCAGTTTTGAATCGCGGCACGTTTTTGTATTCACGAAGGGGGCATTATCCCCTTCATTTGCATTTTGTTTCAACTCAACAAAAAATACACCAAGAAGGTGGCACTGTCTTATAAGAATTCTAAATAAATATTTTTTGCAGCTATCCGAAAACAAACTTTCTAATTTAGACATATAATTTGGCACTTTCCAAAACTGAGTGACGAAAAAGTGAAAAAAACTAAAGAAACACCCTTTTATAGATCCTCCCTAATCATTACACTTTATGTTGTGTATGTATCAACACCCTTAGATTATTTTATTTTCTACCTCTTTTTAGTTTGACTATCTATAACAGGGTGTTTCTTTAGGTTTATAAACTACTATTAATTTTCTATTTTTTAGTTCGGCAAACTACAGAAGTGTGTTTTTTAGTGTTCTTATATTTTGCTGAGTACCCAATTTTCTGAACCTGATTTCATTTTGTGAACTTAAAATATGTTGCTTTATTACAATACTGCAATACAGTCCATAATTATGGGACTAGACAATTGAATTACTTGATAGCAAATACATTCAAGTCAAACATTGGCAAACAATCTGTTTTTCACAATGGAATAATTTTATACAATTCATTACCGAATCTTAAAAAATACTTGCTCAGGATAATTTGAATGAAAAATATGTGGCATGATTTGATTACTTGGGAATGAAATATAACTTCAATCTTAAGACACAATATTAATTCGTTTCCACTGAGTGGAATTCATTAGTTATCCCTTTACTATTATTTTTTTATATGTATTTATGTATCCCTATCATGAACAGAAATGTTTCTTGGGGTAATAAAGACAATCAATCAATAATCTCCTACCCCAGATACTAATTTTCCGCCATAGTGTATCCGTCATATTGGATTTTCTAACTTGGCATCATAATATCCGACCCCGGAAACCCCTAGATGGCAACTTTGAATAGAATCGTATCATATAATTGTAAAACTCGTCCAACATTGTGGATCCGCCATCCTGAATCTTCCAATTTTGATGAACTACTCGAGTAGGAACCAAGTCAGAACAATAACGGGACTTCTCACTGGTCACAGTCCAACAAGAGGACACCTGAATTTACCCTTTTGGATCACCTGGTACAATGGAGACAATGCGGTAAAGGAACAGAAACGGCCAAGCACTTATTAATAGAATGCGAGGCATTGGACCGCAAAAGACAAGAAATATTCGGGCAGCCTAGGCTTACTCCCGAAGAATACAACAGCCAACCGGTGAAAAACCTGTACAGACTGGTGCAGGGAATAATAGCTATGGAATGGGTGCTGTAAAATATACTGGATGGCACAAAAAGCCCAGGATGCTGAGGTGTAGCCGGTGACAAGACCATCATCCAAGAAAAAAAAATAATCCGGCCCAAATGCGACATTCTTTCTTACATAAAACATATACAAATACAGTTATTTATATATATATATATATATTTTTTGCATCACCAATCTCTACCCTTCACTACTCAACAAAAAGTAGTTCACCTTATTGTCACTCATAGATACCAGCCTCTACTGAATAGAATTTCTGACTTTATTGCCCTCATAAGGATGGTTCATTTTTTTAGTGTAAATAATCAAGAGTGATACTAAATTATTCCAATGACTACTATGAATATATGTTTAAGTATTTACCTTCTCCATCGTGTTACCATCACAGTATCTCCAATATTCAGTTTTATTCTTGGTTCATCAGTAAATGGATAACTAAGACATACCCGGATACCATGAGTTATTGGGAACCACGCCCCAGAGGCCTGTCTTATGATACTATACACTCTAGTTTTCAGTCTTTTCTCGTTTTTCTGTTCTATCTGCTCCAACTACAATAAGAAACATACAAACTTTCAGTTATTAACCATTACAATTCCTGTAGAATGATTATTTTCTTCCTAGTTGAAACAATAGTAGTTGACAACTAACTTTGATGAAATAATTGATTTTCATGGATATAATTTGATGACCAACATTCATTAAATTTTCTTGTATAAGAACAATTTCCATCATGGAGTTTTTTATATTAAACTTTTATCAATACTTACAGTGAGACTGAATTGGTCACATCCTTCAACAACTGGCCAACATTTTCCATTACCAATGGGGTGGCAACTGAAATTTATAACCTGGCAAAAATTCTTCCTCATTCCTAGGTCATAAGGAAATACAAACTTTTCATTTGTACCTCTTCTTCGGAATGCTGCTTTTTCTATAATCCAGTCTTCAATACCTGTACGATTTTTCAGAATAGACCTCATCTGAAAAATTGTCAAATTATACAGGGTGTCCCTCCATCCCCATAGCTAAAGGGCATATTTCTTGAACAATTTCAAGTCAAAAGTGCCTTGTACACTTTTGCCAAAAAATTCATAGTTAAGGAGTTCTGAGCATATATACAGGGTGTTAACAAATAAGTGTCACAACGGAAAACTGTAGATTCCTTATGATGAAAGAAACATTTTTTTCCCTTTCGAAATTTTTCTCCGGGCTTCCGTTTTCAAGATACAGGGCGTCAAAATAATACAAAAAAATCTGTTTTTCCCTACTATCTTAGGAACCGTTTGAGCTACGGAGTTAAGCCTTCGTACACACTCCATCATCAATAATGACTACTTTTAGGGCTCTTGATCGATTTCCTTGGACATGTCAGTGGAGGAGAATTCAACGCCTCGTAAGGGTTTAACCCCTCAAACATTAATGCCACTGAAGAAATAGTAATTTTCGAAGTAGATTCTGAAGCGCAAATATCTTTCACAAAAAAACGTCCTCTTGTCTCAATACTCTAAAGTGAATAGTTTCTGCGAAAAATGGCTCTTTATGAATAGGGACATATAAAATCCCGATGGTATCGTCTGAAAATCCACTGGAGATAAACACCTCAGAACTGTCTAAGAATATGTTCAATCAAATGTCAGGTTCTTGCGTATGCTGGTCTCGATGTTGGTTTTCAAATTGTCAAGTTTATTAAGTGTTGTAAAGTGTGTTCAATGAAACTGAACATTTTTTATTTTTTGACGCCCTGTATCTTGAAAACGGAAGCCTGGAGAAAAATTTTGAAGAGAAAAGGAATGTTTCTTTTATTATGAGGAATCTACAGTTTTTCGTTGTGACACTTATTTGTTAACACCCTGTATAACAACTTTGCTCACCAGTTGATTGCAAGAGGTGGTCCCGGTCATTGCACTCCAAGGTCACCTGAACACTATATTATCGTTAGGGAGTGGTAGTTTATTCAAATAAACTACAAACTAGAGATCGGCTGATTGAAAATATCATAACTACAGGGGACTACAGCTGCATCTATAAGAGATGATCCAAATACTATTCACAGAGCAACGTCCTCAATAATAATTAGGCTATCCAGAATGTGTTGTGAAGCAGCAGATGGGGCATTTTGTACAAAAACCTTAATTAAATTTGTGTCAGTAACAAAAATCATCAATTGATAAAATATTACACTACTTTATTCAGATTTTCTTCGTTACATACTCTGTTGAATTTAATATTGCTCATTACTCATCAACTATAGTTTTTGACAAAAGCTTATAGGGAACTTTTGACTTGAAATTGTTGAAGGAATATGCCCTTAAGCTATGGGGATCCAGTCACTGGATACTGGGTTGTATTATATTAACTTCAACATATGATCAAGGAAGTACTTTATTATTATCATAATTATTATCGTTTGACCTCCGGATCTAATTCATCATTTCACTCAAATGTACCAAACTCCTTTAACCAGTTTTAGTCTCCTATTAACACAATGTAATGTGTAAAAAAGCTAATGAGCTATGTAATGTAGACATATTTTTCTTTAACATCAATCAATTTATCAGACAACTACATGTAATATCACCTTTTTTTACTGATTCACCTTTAGTACTTATAAAATAAATAAAAATAAATTTTTCATCATTAGGGAAGGGTTGAATTTATATTCGCTCCAGTCGCAAACGACAAGGTTCGCGCGTTGATAACAATTTGCAAATTGACACTTTTTGTCAGTTTCTTATGTTACCACAACACCATGTGCGAAACAGTGCCTGAAGTAAAAGGATGGTACATACTTGGTGCATTGTATGTAAACTATATGAGATATTTGTATTTAAACTTTATGTGATCCTCAATGGAGCAAACATCCAAGAAATCATTTATTTCTGAATGTTCAAAATTATCTTTTTTCATCTCTTGAAGAGCACAAAAGAATGTTCAAGGAACATCCTGCCTATCTAGAGCAGATAGGGAGAGGCGTTAAGCCAGTTAAACAAAAATTTTTATAGTAAGTTAAGCATATTACTAATTTTTTTGACGTTTGTAGTAAAGAATTTTATCTGAAACTACTGCGTGAAATACTATTTTCATCTGGCCTATTTTTTTTGTAGCATTTCATGCAATAGATACAAAAATAACTATTATCAAGAAAGAAAACTCCATAAGTCATCACCACTGGTTCAATTTTAAATCAATACAGTTAATCCTGCTTTAATTAGGTTTGCTTTGTGACATGTTTTGACTATTCAAATGGCCATCATCAGTCAAAAAGGTACACCATAATAACAATAATGTTGAACTCACAGTTTCTGAGTGAATAATTATTGTGGTGGCTGAAGGACCTTGGTTGATGGCCTTTTGAGTATTTATACTCAATTAAGTTCACTAATAATCATTTTAATTATTATGTTCACAAACATGCTGTTCAGATGTGTCTGTTTTTTTGAAACTCTTCATAGGAATCCAAGTAGGAATCATATGAGGAATCATATGAAAATTCACATATGAGGATGTGAAACCATGAAGAACAATATTATGATTTCAGTTTTCCTGTAAAAAAATTCCTAATATGATTTCATAAAAAAATTACCCCTTTAAACGGCACTGTCCAAAAGGATATAGGTCTCTGAAAGACTGATCATATTAATTGTCATTCATACTGGTCCCAATTTGGTAAAGATTGCACTACCAATAGCTGAGATATAGAGGAGGGCCATTTGAAAGGAAACACACTGTATATTCGTTGATGTTGAATAATTTTCCATGAAACTAAGTATAGATCTATTCCAGAGGATGCCAATTCCAGTGGTGTATGCAATATTTTTCTAAAAAATCACTAATATAGATTCTGGAATTTTCAGCCTCTTAATGTAATCTAGTAGGCCTTGGTTTTTTGAAAAAATGGACACTGCTCAGCTCCAAAATAAACTGCTCCTCCCTCTACATTTCAAACAAATATCATGAAAATCACTCTATAACTGAAAAAGTTTTATAAGGATGGCCTACATTTGAATGGGTCAGTCTGTATGATTTTGTTCTCCCTATTGTATGATTTTGTTTGTAGTTTTGTAAACATTCAATCATCCACATTTTATATACTACACCTGAAAATAGAGAAGCATTCCTACAGCTGCTACAACACCAATTGCAAATCCAAGAGCAATTACACACATGATCAGTCCATAAAGTCCCAGATGAACCACTGGTTCTTTTGCTGCACTATAATAGACATGGTGTGCTCTGTGTATAGCTCTATAAAGTGAACATCCTAGGACAACTGATGATTGTGAACAACCAAGTGTAGCAAAAAGGAGAAAATAAGTGAAATGTGCATGGTTGCCCCAACCTACACAATTATTGATCCAGGGACAATGATGATCCATTTTCAGAACACATCTACCACCTGAAAATGTGATATCCACCTATTACCACCATATTTTATTTCTAAGACTATATGTTGAACCTACATTTACGACAATGATGTGACCTAGGTGCCTTGAAACCATTACACACTTTGCAGAACTGTAAATAGTCACAATGTTCCAGTTTCATCTGAAAAACATAAAATTTTATTCACTCTTGATCCATCACCTGATAGCATGTTAACTACTCACTGGTTTCCATTCAAATGGTACATAACCAGGACCCTGATACATTGATGATAAGAAATTGTACAGGGTAAGTCCTGAAAAACTGATGAAAACCATCACATTCAATTTTCCTCCAAATGTATCTTTGGGCCACCATAAATTTGAACAATGAATAGTCATAGCTGTCACTAACTTGATGATACCTACAGGCAACACAATTCACTGGATATTCACAAGATATATCAACTGTTAAGATTATTGGAATCAAAAATGTTCTTACCAAGAGCAGTGAGTGGGCCCCAATGGCATATTCGAGAAAATGGTCCAAAACACATAGTGCGGCAACCGGCAACACCGAGGCAATACAAATTTATGAAGTATTCATAAAAATACCTTTATCTCATATTGCATTTTGAACAGAAAAGCCTTCGGAAAAGCCCATGAAATCCTTATATTTGTTATTTATTGAAACCTCAGATTGAAACAAAATATAAAACATAACCTCAATCGGCTGCGGCTCAAGTTGATTGACGTGTTGACTGTTGACATCTCGATTCTCGACACTCGACAGAGATCTCTCGACGCACGATCCACAACTCTAGATCCACACGAATCCGGGGCTCTATTCTCGAACCGTTCGAATTCAATTCGTATACGAATAAAGAAAGATGCACTTATGTATGTGACGTATATTGAAGTGGAATAGAAGATCGAACTCGTATACGAAAATCGCTCGAGCAGCTGTTTTCCGTTTTGCGCCAGCAGCTCAACTGAGATGTTCAAAGTTAGGTATTTTTCAATGCGGCCACGTTGGTAGCACTGAAAAGAAAGACGGAAAATGAGAGAACTTTCCTCGTTCTCGTTCAAGGCAGAAAAGAGCTTGAAATATAGAAAGAGCTCTGATAAATCTTTCCTTGACTTTGATATATTTTAGAATTCTTTGAATGTGATTTCCATATATCTACTAATCATATATAAATCATAGCTGTCCAACTTCTGTCTCTATAGGTAACGAAATCGACCAATAGGCGTTGATGCTGACTGAGATGCCGACGTAGGGAAAAAATAATACGAAACTTGTCAAACCAATATGGCTGTTTCCATTCTTTACTATCCGTCCTAATTATAGATTCAAAAAGTAGCTCTCATTTTGGTCCCATTTCTGTTGAGATATCGAATAGACGATAGGCCATGTGTAGAAATATGGTGATTTCGAATTATCATACTTATTTTGACATCATTCAAATTTGACACTCTGATGAATTCAAAAATAGTTCAGTGGCACAAACTAGATGTTAGACAAGGACAGACTTGCGGCTACGTTGGTATCATTGAAGAGAAAGATGGAAGATGAGGGAACTTTCTTCTCTCTCATTCAAAACAGTTTAACATAACCTCAAAAAACAATGAGTTGAATGTACCCAAACTTTTTATTTATCAAATTTGCTGATTCTTTACATACTCATAATGTCTGATGTAGAAGATAATCCTCCAGAAGAAAAGCCCTTTGCTGCTGACATAGCAAAACAAGGCAGAGCAGTCTGTAAAAAATGTAAACAAAAATGCTTACAAGGAGAGCTACGATTAGCCAAGTTGATCTATAATCCTTTTGGAACTGGTAAAATGAAAGCTTGGCATCATATCAATTGCCTTTTTGAATCATTTCTGAAGCAAAGGCAGACAACAAAACGCTTAGAAAGTCCTGATGAAATTGAAGGATGGGATGCCCTTTGTGAAGACGATCAGAGTATGATATTAGATAAAATCAAGGACTGTGATGATTTTTTTCATAAAAAATTCGGTACAAAACCCACTACACCCAAAAAACAGTCTAAGGAAGTACCATTGAAGGGAAGTCATGAAAAGGACAAAACAGGCAAAAACAAGGATGTATCCAATAATACCAATGTGAATAGTGATGAATCACCAAACAGAACCCATAAAATGTCTAAAGATCATTATTTCAAGCAGTTCAGGAGGCTAGTTGCTGATATTACAAATAATACCAGTTATTTAGATAAAACCAGTTGTGTGAAAAAACTTTTCACTGAAGGATCTGATGGTAATGGTTTCAAAGATGATATAGTCCTCTGGTGCAAACTACTACTGCCAGGTGTAGTTAAAAGGGTCTATAATCTACAGAGTAAGCAGTTAATCAAATTGTTCAGTAAACTATTTGTAGCTGACCAAAATGAAATGTTAGAACACCTAGAACAAGGGGACATTGGTGAAACAATCCAAAAATTTTTTGAGGAAAGTCTGAAAGCCAAACCAGCAAAAAAAGCAACATTAACTGTGAAAGAAGTAGACCATTTTCTCAATAAGCTCTGTAAACTGACAAAAGAAGATGAGCAACAAGAACATTTCAAATCATTTATTCCTAAGTGTACTTCTAATGATTTGAAAACTGTCATAAGATTGATAAAAGGTGATTTGAGGATGGGGGCAGGTGCAAAACATGTCTTGGAAGGTGTGCATCCTGATGCATATCAAGCATATCAGGCTTCCAGAGATTTAGACACAGTTATAACAAAATGTTTGGATAAACCATCAGATATGAGTAATAGCAAGAAGGTCAAGAAAAATGGTAGTGCTGAAATCACTGTGATGACACCAGTTTTACCAATGTTGGCTGAAGCATGTAAATCTGTTGAACAAGCTATGAAAAAATACCCAAATGGCATGTATTCTGAGATAAAATATGATGGTGAGAGAGTACAGGTACACAAACATGGTTCAGAATTTAAATACTTTTCAAGATCACTGAAACCAGTAATGCCACACAAAATTCAACACTTCAAGGATTTTATTCCCAAAGCTTTTCCACATGCTGAAGATTTGATTCTAGATAGTGAGATACTTATGATAGACACCCAAACTGGCAAACCTTTGCCATTTGGTACTCTTGGAGTTCACAAAAAAGCAGAATTTAAAGATGCAAATGTATGCCTATTTGTTTTTGATTGCATATTCTATAATGGAGAGAATTTGTCAAACAAGCCATTGAACTATAGGAAAAAAGTGTTGCATGAAAATATGATTGAAATTGAGAATCATATTGTTTTTTCTGAGAAAGAAGAAATTCATCAACCAGAAGACCTGTCAAGAATGATTGCTAAAGTTCTCCAACTTGGCTTAGAAGGCTTGGTTTTGAAGGATCTGAAGAGTATTTATGAACCTGGCAAACGTCACTGGCTAAAAGTCAAGAAAGATTACTTATTTGGTGGAGCAATGGCAGATAGTGCTGATTTGATTGTATTAGGTGCATGGTATGGAACAGGCAAAAAAGGTGGTATGATGTCTGTTTTCTTAATGGGGTGTTCCAACCCCAAAACTGGAAGATTCTGTACTGTCACTAAAGTCCACACAGGTCATGATGATAAGACATTAGAGAAGCTCCAGAAAGAACTTGATATGGTCAAAATTGGCCAGGACATGGCAAAAGTTCCAAGTTGGCTGGTTTGCACAAAAACTATGGTTCCTGATTTTGTAGCTAGAGATCCAAAAAATCAACCTATTTGGGAGATAACTGGAGCAGAGTTCACTCAACATGATGTTCACACTGCAGATGGCATATCCATTAGATTTCCAAGGGTCACAAAGATAAGGGATGACAAAAACTGGGAGACTGCCACAAGTCTTCCTGAACTACAGAAACTTTATAAGACATCCAAAGAACATACGGATGTTAGTTTATTGATGAAAGGTCTCAATACAAGCAAAGTGGAAGATAGAAAGAGATCAAGTGAATTCAATTCTTCAGGAGAGACCCCTCCAAAAAAGAAAATAAAAGATAATGATGTACGGGAGCCCAAAACTTCAAGAAAGAGAAATAAACATGGTCATGATAATGGGACAACCACTATGAAGGAAGAGGAATTGAAGGATCAAGATGATATTGATATAAAGGATGCCACATGCCTTTCAACAAATAAAATTGAAAATAATGAAGACATTGGGATTGAAAATAAGAAAAACATTTCTGTACTATTCTATGGAATCAAAGTTCTACTTGAAGATAAACTAAGAAAACAGAAACATTTTGATATTGTCAGGTGAGTATTGAAAAACATTGAGGAGTAGTTTAAGGTAGGTATCCTCATAGGCTCCTAGGTATCAATTGGTGATTGAAGGAATATGGCGTTTCTGCTGAAGACTACTCACCTACTCATCAGGAAACACTTTGGTTGAATCAGTTTGGGTCAGAACTTTAAGCCCATATGCTTGTCCATATGTATTCAATTTGGAGAAATGATCTCTTGACCTTCATTTCCATAGTCTTCACAAGTGTACAAAACTATCAACTATGATAAACACATTAAATTCATATCAACCAAAAGAAGGTACACTTGAAACTTTCATTTTGGGTTTATACTATCTCATATGGCTCTCAGGACTTATGCAAAATGTATATTTTGGACATGAGATGATATTTCTGATCCAGAATGACAGTCTCATAGTTCCAAGACCATTCAGGAGATGCACTAAAATCATAACTTTTACATTGTTTCTCTAACAAATAGTGATCATGATGAGAATTATCCATAGAAGGTGAGGTGCTAGAAGTTAACAGCGTACATACATTTTCGTCGCGTCCAATTGTCGCCGCGTCCAATTGTCGCCGCGTCCAATTGTCGCCGCGTCCAATTGTCGCCGCGTCCAATTATCCGCGTCCAATGTTCGTGCGTCCAATTGACCACGTCCAATTGTCGGTAATCCCATCTGTTAACGAAATGTTATATGTTCCAAAAGCATTTCAAAGTATTTAATCGAACGGCACCTGTGCCAATCACTATCTTGAGCAAAATTATTGAAATATTACACTGTCCTGTGCGGTAATTTGCACTCAATTTCGCTATTTGATAACGAGCTAGAATTATGCCTTCCGATATCAATTGAATGATAGATCTCAAAAACCTACCTGTGCCAATCTGAGGCAAATCTACGGCACTGCGATTAACTTGCTGTCATTATTCCGGATATACTTCCTTCATGTGATAACGAGTTGAAACAAAAAGCAAATGAAAGGGTATAATGTCCCGTTTGCGAATATCCAAAAGTGCCGCGACTCAATCTCAAACTGATCTATAAGTTAGTGGAAGTGCGTCGATATTTCCGAGAAAGATAATATCCGATGGACCAGTGTAAAACTCATGTGGTGGTCGCATTACAAGTATTCTACTCTACATAATTATTGAGTTTTACACTGGTCCATCGGATATTATCTTCAGAGAGGGGTGAAATATTCTCGAAAATATTATTTTTAATTATTCATTTATTCATGCAGAATATCCTGCAACCACGAATTTAATCAATTTTTGATAGTAAAATTATCTTGACTTTCATTTATCACATAATCTGACCAATTATGGAGCCAGAGACAACTTATGTTATCGCAAAAACACTAGCTGTCCCTGTCTTTCAGTTCTGATTGGTCTATCAGCGTTGGTGTTTTCAACGATGTAACCATGAATAGCGTAGCAAAGTGTGTCGGTTTGGCATAAAATTTGTATATCTGTAGTTGTCAGAATGAATCGCTCATTCATAATAGTTGCTTTTTTTGCTTCGTGAACGTGAAATAGTCTAGCAAAATACCACTCTGTTCTGATTATCTTCAACTCAATCCTGTTGCCGTGACGCTCGGCAACATACTTTCGTGAACAAGGAAGCGACATAATTATCTCGAAAATTCAGAACATCCTGATATTACCTACGTATAAAAACTATGTAGTTTTCGACGTTTTTTTTTTTTTTTTTTTTTTTTTTTTTTTTTTTTTTTTTTTTTTGTATAATTTTTGTTGTTGTATATTAGGACATCCTATTTCAAATAAACTACTTCTTCTTCTTTAAGCAGGACAGCAGGATGATGGCGATCGAGTTTCAATCATTATCATTAATCATAATATTAGCAATTTTTACAGTTACATGTTATATTCAGTTGATCCAAGTTAAGGTAGAGGAAATACCTACTCAATCAAATACTCAGCTGAGGTATCTAGGAGCACTGATTCCAAAATGGTCATTATTCCAATCTCCAAAAATACTACATATTTTCCAGATGTATTTCAGAACGCGTCAATTTTATTTCAGAATAGTCAATTGAATTTCAGAATCATCAAAACTGAATGGTTAGTACTATGGTTAGTTGAAAGTGCATTCCATCTAAGAATGTATAGGGTGTTCATTCTCAAATTAATCATCCCATATTCCTTTTCTAGGTACTCTTTGATGAGCAGATTACAAACATCCATAACCGTCAGAGTGAATAGATAAACTAAGTTCTATTGCCTTGTATCAGTTGATAAAAAAGTTCTGAATTCTTCAAGGAGAATCTAAGAATGTAAAATTCTTATTAGTTAAGCCATGTCAAACGAACTTAAATCTTTTTTTTTCAGTCAATTCGCATGAACCTTTGCAAAAATCCAGCATTCAGTATTCAATATACTGTGTTGTTGAAGCTTATATGATTTTTCAGATTTTTTTTCGAAGCCATAAAGTGCGTCCAATCATGCAATAATTTTTTCCTAGTGAACGATTTCTGAAATTCAATTGAATATTCTGAAATACAATTGATGCTTTCTGAAATTCAATTCACGCTTTCTTTAGTTCAAATGATATTTTCTGAAATATCATATGATCATTATGGAATACAATTGACGGTTTTATAGTCTTCTGAACATCAACAATCATTTGCTTATTTGTTTCTCATTGTTTCTTAATCAATATAATTTATATAAATATATACCTTCCTGTTATTTTAGTTCTTAAATAAATGGCCCTTAAATATCACTGGTAAAAATAAATCATAGATTTTTTTCAGTTATATCACAGACAATGGAGGTGAAATTTTGACAATGGATGAATGGAGGAGTGCCACCCATGTCTTACACTATAACAAGGTTATTCAGAAACCAGAGTTGAAGAGTCCTTACTCTGCCAAACATTTGGCCTATAAGTGGGTGGAAGACTCTGTGGAAGAAGGAATTTTGAAGGACTATAGAGAGTATACAGTGCACTGGGATCCTGACTCTTAATATTATCTATGCAAAGGCCTTTATTATATACAGGGTATGTCACGACGAGCTTACACTATCTTTATATAAGGAATCAGTCCGGCGAAATCCATGAAAATATGCATGATCATATTTCAGAATACTCTCTATTCATTTAAAATATTTTCAGCAATTGCAGTGTTGCCGCTTCTACTAGATATTCACTGATATCCTGTGAGCTAATGAATTCTAAGAATATGATCTTGACTAGGTTATTATACTGTTCTCGAATGAAATCATAATCTCAAATATTCCCAATAAAATTATAGTTTCCATCCATTCTTGACCATATTAATTTAAACTTTTGTAGATATGCTTACACTGTGACATTTCTTATAGTAGGTAGTCCAGTTATTGTTTGTGTCAATATATTTTACCTTATTTTGAAAGTAATGATGGTAGGTACCTTCTTATATTTTATATATATATACTTTGTGTGAATAAGTTGGTGATTTGTGATATATTTTATGCATAATTCTTAAGTCTGTATACATATAATGATATAAATGATAATATATTTTTCAAAAGTAATTTTATTTTCTTTGATCAACAAATACGAACGTATTAATTAATAACACATATCAAGGAGGTTCAGATTTTTACATTGAATATTTCCAAAACATATTCTTCCATCATTTTGATTCGTAAAATATACATTGGAGCTTCTCAAAAAACAGCAATATGGTTACTTACTTCGAAATTATTACAGAAACAATGTACGATTCTGGCTTCTTTAAACTTTTTTCTGATATTTTCAAAATTCTTATCGTTTGATTTTGAAAAGTATTGGAATTGATCACGAGTATTATGAAAACTTTGGGAAAAAAGTCGGATATAGACTGTGGCGTAGGTACATTTTGTTTTGATACCTATAGTTTCAGATTTACATATATGATGCACCACTGGCGTGTCAAATTTGAATTAAAAATGTTTCATAGAATAGCCGTTCCCAATTAAGGTACTCAAATCAAATTTCGTTAGATTCGCTGCTTATTTTCTAGAGAAAGGTGGAGAAAGGACTAATTTTTGTGAAATTCGACATCCAGTAACTTCATAACAAGCTAGTGTTATAAATTTTCCGAATTATAAGGACAGGTAGAATGTATTTTGTCTAAATTTTCTTTATTAATCTGACTAACCCTGTATATTCCACGGGGGCCGAATGCATGGTATTTCAATTATTTATGATGGCCTATGATTCTCTATGTATTTCAAATGGCCATTTCTTGTGTATTGATATTGGCGACTTCCTCAAAGTACTTGTTTTCATTATTGGAGTTGAAAATTATCACACCCATGAAATAAAAACTTCCTTGTGAACGGTTGTGGGATATAATAAAATACCGGTGGATTGGTTTTAGTGAAAGATATAGGCTTCTTGAGTACTATACTTAACTGGATTGACTTTAATTTCGAAGAATTATTTTTAATAAGAACAAATAAATTGAAAGAAGATGATTATGACCTAACCCAGTTCGTCTCAGAGATTAAGTCGCTCCTTCCTAATGCAGAATTACCACAATACCGTTACTCGAATTTGTATTGCAGGTATGATTTAATAAATCTTGGTTTCCCAGAATTCTATAGGTCACCGCATTTATTCAGGAGGTCGGAGATTTAATCATGCAAACAGACAAAATGGGGTGTTGAAGGTGTTGTCAAACTAGAGACAGAAGAATAAATCACATGGAGTGGAAGTAGAGATGACCTTGGGAGCCAAGGCATTAGCAAATGCTCCATCCTATGGAACAGCTCTTCGTGTTCTTGTCTCTGAAGCTTGACCTAATTCAACAGAACCATTACCTACCAGCCCGAAATTATCTTTCGTCAACGCACTATATCAGACGGATTTTGCTTGTTCTCAAAACGAATAAGGCTAACGGTCCTGATAAAAGCCCACCCATTATTGTCAAAAAGTGTGTACAATACTTGAAAAAGGAATCTCCAAAATGATGGAGAAATAAGTCATCAACAGTAGTAGTATATACAGTTGTGTCCATTTAGTGTGTAATTCTTCGATATCTCGAAAGCCATAACCTATAGAGAAAAACTATGAAGGAGAAACTTTTTCAATTACTGAAGTTGCTTATTTCAAAAATATTTTCAACATTACTGGGTGTTTTATAAAAGCGGGACGACTCGGAGACTAGTTTTTTTAAACGGAACACCCAGTATTGTTTATTCGGAATTTATTCAGCCAAGGTTTACCTTCACATCGCTCTTAAAATAATTGGAATCGGTTGCGGCGTTGTCAAGTTATGATTGATAAATCTATTTTTACCAATATTGAAGTCATGTTGAATTGTGCATGGTATATTCATTTATTCAAATTTTTAAAATATATTTGACATACGGTAGCAGCAAGGTCTCACGTGAACCAATCCAGTAATTTTGCGACATGTTCTTCAACAGGGTGCTCAATTTTTCATTTAGAATTTTGCAAGATTCAGATGACATTCATTTGAATTTCACAAATGGAACACCCTGTATTTTTATTCACAACTTCATTCCGGCATCTTTCGCCTTTTTTTTGCTGAGAAAATAATCAATATCAGTTGCGGCGTTGTCAAATTATGGATAATTTCATTATTATTACTACTATTTCGGGGTAATTTGTACGTCATAGTTCTTTCATGATTAGTATTGTGGAAATAGTCCGTTGCTACGGTATAATCGAATTTCTTCATTGACCATTCATATATTTTTTCACAATAGGAACATTAACAGGCTCTCCAAATTTCAATTTAAAACAGAGTGGTTTTTGAGAAATTTATCCCGAATGCTACTTTCACAGATTTCTTGCAGACTATGAATTAATTTTTTGAAATACACTTATATTTGTGTAATGACCTGTCAAACATCGCCACAATCAAATATATCTTGAATTTATTAAAAATTTTGCTGAATTCCCTCCCGCGAAACCCGCGTAGTTGAGAAATATTGTTTGTATCATTATGTTTACCTTCTTCAAGTTAAATGAAGATTTGGATTGTGGGAATAACGACAATAAAAGTGGTCCAAATTTAAAAAAATTGTCTTTACTCTCGCAATCCAAATCTCCATTGTTTGTATTGTAGAAGTTGTTTCGAAGGCAGGCGTTGCTTTTGGCATGTTCATTTGTTTCACATAGAGGTACATATTATTCAAATCATAAGAAACAAGATTACGGAATATTTCAAATTTGGACAATGCACATATTACAAAAACACCTATATATGATCTATGTAGAACCTCGAATGTCATGTGGCAAGCAATATTCCCACACTCAAATCAAATAAAGGATCCATAAGTAGCCCTGAAACAGTGATAAACATAAGGAAATTACTCATAACTTTAAAACGCCGCAACCGATTTTGATTTTTTTTCAGCGATGAAAAGGCAAATGATGTCGAAATAAATTTGTAATGAAAAATACAGAGTGTTCCATTTGAAACATTATAATGAATAGCGTCTGAATCTTACAATATTCAGAATGTAAATTTCAGCACCCTGTGGAGGATTATCTCGCAAAATTACTGGATTGGTGTACGTTCGACCTTGCTACTACTGTATGCCAAAAATATTTTCAAAATTTCAATAAATGAATACATACCATACCCAATTCAACATGACCCTACAATAGTAGTAAAAATTGGTTTATCAATTATAACTTGGCAACGCCGCAACCAAATTCAATGTTTTTTACAGAGATGTAGAGCTACATCTTAGCGGAAAGAATTTCGAATAAAAAATACTGGGTGTTCTATTTAAAAAAACTCGTCTCCGAGTCGTCCCGCTATTATAAAACACCCAGTATTTTTGAAAATATTTTTGAAATGGAAACCTTCAATACCGGAAGAAATTTGTATCCAAAAGTGTTTTCTAGTGATAATGGATTTCGAAATGGACACACTGAAGATGACTATAAAAAGTGATTCATTATCAGAATATCAACAGAACTATGTATTTATATCGATGACTGCAACCTTTGGCACGATAATGCACACTGTTTCACCACACTAACGCCTCGACACGTGTTTCGATAACTATGTTAGCATCTTCAGAAGATTAAAATTAAATGTTCTATTCTATTATGCTACTTATATACTAGGTATTTTTCCATATCACTAAACTGTACGGGCTATATCGAATAGATCAATTATTTTCATGCATTACTCTCTATTACTATCCTTGAATATCTCTAGGCTTTTACATGAATCTAATTTCCTAAGAATATTAACTTAACAAATTTCGGGTTATTAATATGTGTGTTATGATTGTGATTAAACATGTGTTCGGCGATACACGATTAATTTAACCTAAGTTAACAGTTCGGAATTCTACGACTTTTCAAGCGGATAAAAATAATTCGCCCGTCTAATCCCAAGTAAAAAAAAAGTTTGAAATATTTGTATATCGCTACTTCAAAGTTGTGAACCAACTCCCAAGAAGTCGAAACTTTTGAGGGGTTAGGAAGAGCGGGACCTACAGCTTATAGTGGAATCCGATTCACTTCTATATAGGGCATCGAATAATAAGGGACTTGATAGGGCAAAGACTTAGGTTCTGAAAGCGTTTATCATCAGTCAGGGTCAAAATTAGGCAATTTATTTAGGTAGGTAAGGTTCCATGTGAGTAGGGCGAATACCGCACCTACACTGCAACCCCAGATAGGTCTTTTGTGGCACACCTCTAGAAATTACAGTTCACTGTACAATCCACATCTTATGTCCATGGTTGAATTAGATGAGATTTATCTGAAATCGATAGGTTATAAATTGGTTAAGCCAAATATGTCGAACCTCAGTCTCTCTTAGCAAGAGCATAAACATAATATGTGTTCAGCCGTTTCGTCTTTCACACAGCAGAACCGACAGTCCGTTTGTGGGTTCAGACCCATCCTCTCCAGGTGGTATCTTAGACAGAGTTTATCAGTCAGGGTCAAAATTAGGCAATTTTTTAGGTAACCCAAAAAATAAGGTGGACATACTTGAAAAGTCAGGAACATACGAAATTAGTTGTAATGATTGTGATAAAATATATATAGGCAAAACCAGGCGACCCATAAAAACAAAAGGTTCAAAGAACACCTAGCACATTTGAAATATGGTAGGTCAGATAAATCGTGTGTAGCCGAACACATGCTTAATCACAATCATAACATACATTTTAATAACCTCAAATTAGTTAAACAAAATAATAGTGTTAGGAAATTAGATGCATATTATGAAAGCCTAGAGATATTTGAGAATAGTAAGAGAGTAATAAATAGAGAAAATGGACCTATTCCATAAAGCCCTATGTATAGTTTAGTGATATAAGATTGAGGTGAACATGTGAACTCAATTATGACAAAAATTAACTTGGCGGTTAGTGTCTTTCACGGTTGGGTGGACAAATACCTATAGTTTATAAGTAGCACAAAATAATAGAATATTTAGCTTTAATCTTCTTCTGAAGATGTTAACATAGTAAGCAAACACGTGTCGAGGCTTTAAAAAATCGGTTTCGTTAGTAGTAAAACAGTGTAGTGTAGAACTATGTTTCATATC